AGTTAACTTTAAACCACGGTTCGCGTTCGAGAAAACGGGCCCTGGTGGGGCTGAAACCTGTATCTGCAGTGGCAGTCGGACACTATAGCCACTCAGCTAGGGGCACAGCTGATCTTCAGGGGTCACTGGTTTTATTTTGGCTCAGAGGTGCTGGCAAAGGCTTAGGATGCTTTGTTTTTAGAGCGCAGCTCTTAGGGGCCCGTTCCCGGCTTGAGCGGCGTCGGCCTAACCAAGGTCACCTCAAGGACACGCGACACCCCAAGGTCATCCCAAGGTCACGTGGCCCCCAAGGTCACGTGGCCCCCAAGGTCACGTGACCCTTAAGGTCACGTGACCCCCCGAGGTCACGTGACCCCCCCGAGGTCATGTGACCACCCCCAGGGTCACGTGACCCCCTCGGCGAGGTCACGTGACCTCCCCGATGATGTCATCGTAACTGGTGACGTCACCGGCATCCACATCGTCATCGTCATCATCACTGATGACGTCATCAGTTACGTCACTGATGACGTCACCGGCATCCGCATCGTCATCGTCATCATCGCGGATTACGTCATCAGTGACGCCACTGATGACGTCATCGACATCCGCATCGTCATCGTCATCATCGCTGACGACGTCATCGGAGTCCGCATCCTCATCGTCACTGATGACGTCATCAGTGGCGCTGGGGTTGCGGGTTAGCCTGAAATTACGTTATCAATTACATGGCGTCGTGCCGAGTCGGGTGCCTTGTCAATCGCAAGGAGCAGGCTCTTGTGCAACTTCCTTGTTAGGTGCGCACATGCGTGCATCCGTGCACGGCGTGCCGTCGACGCGGGTTGAGGCAGCGTTGCTTCGTGACGTGGGCGGCACCACGAACACTGAGCTCGGGATGCTTTACAAATGTCTGTGTACCTTCCAAGAAATCTTTACTTGCCCGTTGGCTTTTTTTCAAAGATTGCTGAGGCTTTTTTTAGAAAGATTGCTCACTCTTGCCAACTGCAGCCACGGCGTTCCAGAAGAAGACGCGTCACTGATGACGTCACCGTTATCCGCATCGTCATCGTCATCATCACTGATGACGTCATCAGTGACGTTACTGATGACGTCACTGGCATCCGCATCGTCATCGTCATCATCACGGATGACGTCATCAGTGACGTCACTGATGACATCATCGGCATCGTCACGTGACCCCCCAAGGTCACGTGACCCCCCCAGGTCACTTCACCCCCGTACCCTTCCCTCCTCCTCCTCAAGAGCTGCGCTCTAATTCGGTGTTACAGGGGGTTGTAAACGGGTTTCAGTTTTTTTTTTTAATTCACAGTGTGACACAATTTTAGAGCGCAGCTCTTAGGGGCCCGTTTCCGGCTTGAGCGGCGTCGGCGTCGCCGTCGGCGTCGCCGTCGCCGTTGGCGTCGCCGTCGGCGTAACCGCGCGGTGCATCATGGGAAATGTCCCATAATGCACCGCGCGAGCCCCCCACCGGGGTCACGTGACCTCGTGGGGGGGCACGTGACCCCCCCGAGGTCACGTGACCTCGGTGCATCATGGGAAATGTCCCATAATGCACCGCGCGAGCCCCCACCGGGGTCACGTGACCTCGAGGGGGGCACGTGACCCCCCGAGGTCATGTGACCCCCCGAAGTCACGTGACTCCCCGAAGTCACGTGACTCCCCTGAGGTCACGTGACCCCCGCCGATGTCGCGTGACCCCCAATGACGTCATCGTCACTGATGACGTCACCGGCATCCACATCGTCATCGTCATCATCACTGATGACGTCACCGGCATCCACATCGTCATCGTCATCATCACTGATGACGTCCCCGGCATCCACATCGTCATCGTCATCATCACTGATGACGTCACTGGCATCCGCATCGTCATCGTCATCATCACTGATGACGTTACCGACATCCGCATCGTCATCGTCATCATCACTGATGACGTTATCAGTGACGTCACTGATGTCGTCACCGGCATCCACATCGTCATCGTCATCGTCACTGATGACGTCACCGGCATCCGCATTGTCATCGTCATCATCACTGATGACGTCACCGGCATCTGCATCATCATCGTCATCATCACTGATGACGTTACCGACACCCGCATCGTCATCGTCATCATCACTGATGACGTCATCAGGACGTCGCTGATGACGTCACCGACATTCGCATCGTCATCGTCATCATCACTGGAGAAGTCATCAGTGACGTCACTAATGACGTCATCGGTACCCGCATCGTGATCGTCAATGATGACGTCATCAGTGACCTCAGTGATGACATCATCGGCATTGGGGGTCACGTGACCCCCAAGGTCACGTGACCCCCCCTTGGTTAGTTTAGCCCCCCCCGTGCCCTTCCCTCCTCCTCCTCAAGAGCTGCGCTCTAATTCGGCGTTACAGGGAGTTGTAAGCAGCTTTCACTTTTTTTTAGAGCGCACCGCTTAGGGGCCTGTTCCCGGCTTGAGCGGCGTCGGCGTCGCCGTCGGCGTCGGCATCGGCGTAACCAAGGTCATCCCAAGGTCACGTGGCCCCCCAAGGTTATCCCAACGTCACGTGACCCCCAAGGTCACGTGACACTCAAAGTCACGTGACCCCCTGAAGTCACGTGACCCCCCGAGGTCACGTGACCCGCCCCCCGAAGTCACGTGGCACCCCCAGGTCACGTGACCACCCCCAGGGTCACGTGACCCCCGCCGAGGTCACGTGACCTCCCCAATGACGTCATCGTCACTGATGGCGTCATCGGATCCGCATCGTCATCCTCATCATCACTGATGACGTCATCAGTGATGATGACGATGACGATGCGGATGCCGGTGACGTCATCAGTGACGTCACTGATGACGTCATTAGTGATGATGACGATGCGGATGCCGGTGACGTCATCAGTGACGTCAATGATGACGTCATCAGTAATGATGACGATGTGGATGCCGGTGACGTCATCAGTGACGATGCCATCATCGGGGAGGTCACGTGACCTTGGCGGGGGTCACGTGACCCTGGGGGTAGTCACGTGACATGGGGGTGTCACGTGACTTCGGGGGCATCCGCATTGTCATCGTCATCATCACAGATGACGTCATCAGTGCCGTCACTGATAACGTCACCGACATCCGCATCGTCATCGTCATCATCGCTGATGACGTCATCGGAGTCCGCATCGTCATCGTCACTGATGACGTCATCAGTGACGTCACTGATGACATCATCGGCATCGTCACGCGACCCCCCAAGGTCACGTGACCCCCCCAGGTCACTTCACCCCCCCCCCAGTACCCTTCCCTCCTCCTCAAGAGCTGCGCTCTAATTCGGTGTTACAGGGAGTTGTAAACGGTTTCACTTTTTTTTATCACAGATGACGTCATCAGTGACGTCACCGACATCCGCATCGTCATCGTCATCATCGCTGATGACGTCATCGGAGTCCGCATCGTCATCGTCACTGATGACGTCATCAGTGACGTCACTGATGACATCATCGGCATCGTCACGTGACCCCCCAACGTCACGTGACCCCCCCCAGGTCACTTCACCCCCCATTACCCTTCCCTCCTCCTCCTCAAGAGCTGCGGTCTAATTCGGTGTTACAGGGAGTTGTAAACGGCTTTCACTTTTTTATGTGCCACTCTCCATTTTTTGTAAAGCACCGTAACTATGTAGCCATAGGTGGTGTTGCCCCTTCGAGGAGGCACTGCTGTTGCCAAACTCTTCTGCACTTTTCATTACTGACTCAAAAAGCGTAAAATTCTGCGGTTTCCCCGAAGCAGCTCAGTGTGGATGGGTGAGACTTTTACAGCGTGTGATGGACGTTGCCTAATTCAGCCATGGTTCTGTATTCTTTTGCCTCGGTCCAGTAATACTGAAAGGTAAGGGGGCTTATATACACGCACTGCAGAAAATTCTCTCACGTCTTTCTAGGCTTCCCTTAATGAGCAGTTTTTATTTGCCATGCTCCAGCCGTGTTGCTACGTGTACAAGGAAGGATTGTGGCTAGCTCAATTTTCAGCGGCACCCAAACAAGTGTGTTGAGATGTATCTATCTGCCTGGGCTTTGATGTTTGTGTCTCCGTGACTTGGCCTGGTTTGGACCTAGTGGTTTAAATCTTTGTTTGTACAATTGATGTCCTTTTGCCGCAAATCTTTCCATTTCCCCCGACGTGTTATGGGCATTTCTCGTGGGTCAAAACGTCAAAGTTGCGCGTCAAATGGTATATGTAATCTAGCTGATTGTGAGAACTCTGAATTCGCAATACCAATGCGCGTAAAACAAAAAAAAAAAAAAAAAAAAAACTCTTTGCGGGAATTGTGCAAAGAGGTGCGATTTATATATCAACTTTTCCGCGAAATTGGCTCAATATACATAAGTGCAATCTATATTAAGGTGAAACTTGTAGTCCGGAATATGCTGTAAATAAAAATGAAGAAATATAACAAATTCAATTAATTGAACAAAATAAAAATAAAAAAAAAGTTGGAAGAAAAAATTAATAAAATAATGATAAATGCAGTACAAAGGACACACGGAGTGTGGTCATTCCGTGCTCCCTAGTCTTTGTTAGCAGGATGAAGCCTGTATTAGCGAGGAGTTTGTTTTTTCCCAAAGTCCTGCGTTGACCTACGCTAGACTTTTTCTCAACTGAGCGTGGAGCAAAGATTAGGAAATTTTGTCCTTGGTCTAGGAGGATAAAAAGCGCTGAATTGAGCCGAACGATGAGGCAACGTTGGTTCACGTGGGTCAAGCCTTGGGTAAAGAGACTTCCTAAGGGTGTTCCCCATAGGAGGTCTATCTTCACCAGCAGGAGGGTTACGAACCACATTTTTGATGCCGTGAAGTAATCTAGCTCTGTGGTCCAGCCGAGAGCTGGACCGCAGAGCACGCAGCCAAAGCCGTCGGTGCATACGGCTTTTTAACACGAATGGAGTGCCCATAAAATATTGGGACCATTGAGCACGGTCGCATTGCAGGCTTTTTGTAGCAAATTTTACCTTTGTGGCTGGCAGGGCAAGCGGCTGGTGGGAGAGGACGGTGTGGAGCAGGTCAACGACATGTTCTACGAGAACACGATGCTGCAGACGGAGAACGGCAACTTCCGCACGCGGATCAAGGCGCTCCAGGAGACCGTGGAGCGGCTGACGGTGAAGAACACGGAGCTGCTGGCGGAGCATGAGGCCGCGGCCTGGATCGGACGGGACGGTTCGGACGCCGGGGACGTGAAGGTCCTCATCCAGGGCTACCTCAAGGAGGTGGAGGAGCTCCGGTGAGCCCCGCTTTCTCGGGTCTTTTCCCGCTCCATTTGACCGGACTGCAGAGGAAGGCATGCACATATACTCGACTGTCGTCCTGCTCAGCTTGAGGGGGAAAAGAAGGGTGGAAAAAACATGTTTTCCAGGCTTCCGCAGAAGTCGCGGTGGCAGGAGTGTAATAAGGGAAGTGACCTCGAGGAGGGATGAAAAGGAACCTTCCTTCAAGGCCACCCAAGTTCGTTGCAACGCAGTATCGCACACCTTAAAGGAGCTGTGCAACTATTTCGGTGCTTTATTAAATAATTACGGAGGTGGTCTGTCAACTTTTCTTAAAGTAAAGAACAAAAAAAGCGCTTTTGCCTGCATGTCCTAGTTTGTATATTAAAAATGAACAAAGATTGAGGTTTTCGGCACCTCTCGACTCGTTCACCATCTTCCGAGTCACGTGCGCTATGATGTCAAAGGGGGTAAGCGGGGTTCCAATAAACCTTTCACTCTAGAGCCGTTAGTGAGCAGCGAGAACTCATCCGCTTGCGACCGCGTGGCCACGTGTGGCGGGCGCCGCGCGAACAATATGGTGAAAGGGGGAAAGTCTCATCCGGGTCCGGCCATACCCGTCCGGCTCTGCCTCCGTCCTCCTCCGGCTTCTGGTGGCTGTTCGCAGTAGCAGAGAGAGCTGACGGTTTTGTGGACCTAGGATAGATGGCGCCACTAAAACTCCGTATGACAAAAGTTTTGTCGATGATAGCAGGTTTTTGACGTGTTTCTATTTATGTTGGAACGACAAGATTTAAAGACAAATTACGTTTTATCGAGCAGGTATTTGCACAACTTCTTATTGTTTTACAAGTCCCCCATTGACGTCACGCCGCGTAGTTCTCATGGCCGCCACTCGCGTCTGCAGGTCGGGGAATATTCTCATTTTTGCCTGGCGATTAACCGGCGAAAAATCATCATTTCGAAGGAAGGTGTGTTTTCTGTCCTTTGTGAGAAGGTGAACAATGTCAAAAGTAGATGCCAATTCTTTCAATGTTAAAATCATTGCACAGTCCCTTTAATTCGCTTAGTCATGCACTTAATTCGCTTAGTCATGCACTTAATTCGCTTAGTCATGCACTTAATTAGATTTAATTCCTCTTAATTTCCTTTAATTCCTCTTAATTATCTTTGTTGCCCTTCTTAATTAGCTTTGATTACTCTTCTGTTTAATTCCTCCTAATTCGTTTTAATTCCTCTTAATTCACTTAATAGTGCCTCTTGATTCCCATTGATCGCTCATACTTGTCTTCAATTCCTCTTAATTCGCTTTAATTCCTCTTAATTCACTTTGTCATCCTATTCGCCTTAATGATCGCTTGAACGTTTTGGTACCTTTTGTGTTGCTGACGTGTTTTTGCTCAAGGACCTCGAAGGTCTACGGAACGATGAGACATCTAAGGCCTCGAAAAAGAAAATCCTGCTTTAGGCGCATTCGCACACGACGTCCTGAACGGGCTCGCCTACTTAAGTCTGCCACCGACAGATGTCAGGAGCGTAGAAGGGGATCATCGGAAGCTTTTCACTGTACCGGCGCACGCCTCTCTAATGTTAATAAGAATAAATGTCTTTATTTTGCCAACCATTTGCAGTTTTTCTTTCTGTTTTTCTTTAGAACATACTGCAGGCCCAAGACTGGCCCAAGCAGGAGTGGAAAAAACAACGAGTAAAATACAAATAAGAACTTTTAAAATTAAAAATAAAACACATCGATATACATATTCGAGGCATATATTAATAAATGCAAGAGAGTGATGTGCAAAATACTAAGATGCAGGATATTTATACAGAAAAAGTAAGCGAATCTAAGAAAAATAACTAGCAGTGGCATCGCAAAAATCGGCAGCCTCAAAAACGCTAGAAAGAAAAGAGTTCCATGTCGAGATGGTGCGGGGAAAGAAGGAAGATTTCAAACGATGAGTGCGTGCAAAGATTGGTGCTAATGAATATTCGTTATGGTGCCTCGTAGGTCGTGTCATTAGCGGAATGAGGTGATTATGTGTGCCAAGCCGTACCTTGTTTCGTACCGTATGAAATAAAAATTTTAGTCTGGAGAGCTTCCTACGCAGCTCAAGCGTAGCTATGCCATTCCTTTTCATAAGGTGAAATGGAGAGTCTAATCTTAAATCTTCCATAGATGAACCTACCTTTGAACCATTTCCAGCTTTGAAATGTTCTTTTTTGTGAAGGGATCCCAGACAAGGCTGGCATATTTCGATCGTGTTACGAGCTAAAAGTCTAACACTAGATTGTGTTTTCATTAGTTGGCGCCTAAGGAAATTAAGTTTATGGAATGCGGATGAGCAGGTGTTATCAATGTGTGTATTAGTCTTAGAAATCGTCAGTCCAAGATACTCTGAAACTTTGCGCACGGGGGAGCTGCAGACATAGTAAATAAACTCAAGTGGAAATTTTTTGTTGGTACAGTCGAGATCGGATATAACGAAGTCGGTTATAACAAAATAGTGGCTACAGCGAAGGGATCACGATTTCCCATTTCCTTTTGCACCTCGTTAACCGAAGTCTGTTATATATAACGAAATAGCGGATATAGCGGAGTGATTTCTGATTCCCGCAGACTTCGTTATAACCGGTCTCAACAGTAACCCGTAATAAAAGTTTCTGAATTTTATTTTATTTGGCACACCAATCTGCAGTTTTTTAAAGTGAAGAGTTTAATGCATTCTGGTCGGATGAGCTTATTATATATTTGAAGAGTACACAATCGTCCGCAAAAAGTCTAATGCTTACACTTTCATCGATGACTGAAACAATATCATGATTAGAAATAACAAGGGCCCCAGAACGCTGGCCCGGTGTACACCCGAGGATACACGGAACCCATTTGAAAATTCCCCACCAATATCAACAAAGTGTTTATGCCCTGTAGGTATGATTTAATCCATTTAACAACAGGAATCGAAAGACAACATTTTCTAATTTAAATACTAATTTTTCATGAGGGACCCTGTCAAATGCTTTACTGAAATCCAGGAATATTATGTGTACCTGACCAGATTTATCGAGACCCGTGACCAAGTCGTGGACCGTGGTTAAAAGCTGAGTGGAAAACCACTTTCTGAAACTATGTTAAGAGGTAAATTGTTGTGTTCCTCCAAAAAAGATGAGTTTGCAACATTACATGTGAGGAAGATGGAACGATAGTTTGTTAGCAAAAATGGGATCTCCAGTACAGGGACAACACGTGCTAAGAGCCAGTCATTCGGAAGCGCACTGCTGAGAACCAAGTTTGAAAAATTATTGTCAAAAAACGTGACCCGTCCAAGAACATATTTGCAATCTTATTGTTTTTAGAGTTAACAGCATTGACAAAACACCTTGATTGGAAATAAAATCGGCATTCATGGGTGACGAAGAACCGCGATATTCATACTCGTCTTTTTCTCCGAAAACGGACTGAAAATAAAAGTTGAAATGCAGACCAATTTCTCTTTTATCTGAATCAATACTGCCATTTATCTTTTTTTTTTCAACAAGATTATTTTTGTTGGCCAGGTGTCTCTAAACCTTCAGAAAAACCAACAAATCATTTACAAAGTACCATTCTCTAGCCTGTGCAACTCTGCTGCTTAACTCAGTCTGTAACTCGCATACGCTTTTGGGATTACATTTTCTTATTTTTTTAATTCTTTTTAGTCTGTTTCAGATGAATGATGTGTCTATCAATCCACGGATTGGTTCGCTTTGGAGACTTGTGTTTATTAGGAATGAAGTTGTCTAAGGAAAGGGTGCACATAAGTCTTTGCCAAAGAACCGATACATCGGAATCATTTATTTGCAAGTCGTCAAACGCCGAATCTAAATATTCAAGAACACTGTCATCATCAGCACGACTGAAATCTTTGACAGTCGTCACTGTGAGTCTTTTATTGGCTGGAAGCGCAACCAAAGAGCAGCAAAAGTATAGCAACTTGTGATCTGACACACCATCTTTAACACTTACATATCAGTCAGAAAAGGCACAGGTTACAAAAATTAGGTCTAAAAGCAAACTACTTAAGCCCTGGACATCTGTAAAATCGGTTACAATCTGCGATAAATCACATGCAAACATTTTGTCACAAATTATTGTAGCATTTTCAGTGGATGCATTTGAGGAACTTGTCCAATTAATATCTGGGAGATTAAAGTCGCTAGAGAGGATAACATTGTTGTTTTGAAATCGTAGTAAATGATCCCACAACCTTAGTAAAAAGTCAGCGGATGAACTTGGGGGCCCATACACAGCACACAAAATGACAATGGAACCGCACACATTCAATCTAAGAAACAATCTTTCGGGATCGTCTATCTCATCTAGTAAAACAGCGTCAATTGATGATTTGGGCACGATTGCAACGCCTCCCCCCCGCGATGAACAATCTCTTCTATATATTTTGTGCGATGACGGGATTACTTCATTATCATTAATTTCACCGGTAAGCCAGGTTTCAGTGATGATTGTGACGTGAGGATCGTTGTTCAATAAACTGAGCTCGAGCTTATCTGTTTTGTTATTAATGCTACGAGCATTGAAATTTACAAACCGAAGTTGTTTGTTTACAGCTTGTGGAACTGGCCGTCAATCCCTAGAATGAGCTCGTGACGCAGAGGAAAGCAGTACGCGTTCATTTGCAACCTCGTCCCAGCTATACGAGTCATCATTAATGGGGAGCTAGTCGCGAACCGGAAGGGCCCTCTTACCGTTAGCCTTATCGTGTTTGGCACTTTCCCGCAACTTTTTTGCTTTTATGTTGCATGCTCTGTGAATAGTCATTCTGAATGAACACGCTAGACCCTTTTAGCCTTTTCGCATTTTTGAGGGCTGACTGCTTCTAGGTGAAATCCTGAAATACATAATAACTGGCCTTTTGGTGCCATTTCTTCCTAGCCTGTGTATTCTGGCAATTGAAGTACAGGGCACACCCAATTTGTCAGCAAATATGTCAGATATTACTTCACTCCCCAGTTGTTTTTCGTTTTCATTTGGACTTTCCGTGAGGCCAAAAATGACTCGATTCGAGCGCGGAGAACGGTCCTCAAGGTCAAAAATTTTGATGCCTTGTAGGAGCCCAGTACTCTGAAGAGAGTTAACAATGGTTTCTAACTGGTCTATCTGACTACACTTCTCTCCTAGCTCTTTTAGGATTCCATTCATCTCAATGAATTTTGGGTGCATGTCATTTCCTGTTTTGTCAATCGCAGTTAGCTAGTTGCGAAACTCGGTTCTATCTCTGTGCCATCAATGCTTCCAAGCCATCAAGTTGGCTTGGAAGCACTTCCAGGCTAAGGGGGCTGGGATAAGAGTCCACGTCAGCACACAGCAGTAACCAACAAACAAGAAAGCAATCGTAGACACTGTGGGCAGGGCACAATCATCAGCTGCAACACAGCTGAACTTGCCGCCTGAATAGCAGTTGAGACGCAGACACCAAATTATTTACGCATGATTAGGAGAGAAATGAAAACATGAGAGAACACGAGAGAAAAATTGATTAGTGTCATTATATAATGCAAATTCAGTTTGAACAGACTTGCATTAGCAGACAGAACAACTTTAACCCCCATGAATTAACACTTTTCATCTATTTATTTTGGTTTAAGATGAGTGATCCATTCCCGTAAGCTGCTCACCGAAACTTTAAGTTCTGTATTTTCCCTACTGAACTGATTCAGTGTACAGTATAGACCACTTACAACGTAACCGCTTATAGTGCAGGACCAGGTACAACGCGGCTTTTTTCAACCACCGGTTCGCCTCCCATAGAACTCGATGTAATTACATACCGCTTAAAATGCAGGCGCGCGAAGGGAAATACCGGTTATAGTGCGGTTTCTGAAACAGCCCACCGACCGGCGCAGCGAGCACGGTTCCCTGTGCGACACTAGATAACCAAGATAACGGCGCTAGCCGCAAGCAGCACTCGCAGGGCAAGGAGGTTGCTCGAAGAAGCGGGGAGAAGCGAAGAGAGAAGCGAAGAGAGAAGCTTCAGTTGCCATAGTGACGGAGTTTGCCATAGCGACGGAGGTACGCACGCATGTGTCGTTCACGTGCGTGCGTCCCTCCGCTGTGCTGTAAACAAACGCAACGACAGACCAATCGCAGGTCGAGATGAAGTGTTCGCGCGCGTTGCATGCCAGTCGCAGGGCAGCTGCTTCTATCCGCAAACATGGCGTCGGTTGTGATCGTCGACGTAGACGGTGTGGTGGAAGCTCATCGTTCCGTGTAAAAGCGCTATCTTTGACTGTGAATTTTCGTTGTGTATCGCTATGATAACCCAGCACGTACTAGAAGGGAAGATCCACCTACTCGTGCGGCGATGACTTGGCGGCAATGTCAAGTTGGCAGAAACGCCCTTGTTGTCGTGTTTGTTTACTTCGACTACAGTGGTGATTTCTAAGCTTTTGTGTTTTCGAACATCGCCCGGATTTTTTATTTGGAGCATTTCATGCCTGTGCACAAGCTGATGGTATTACTGGCGCGTACCGTAGAAGGGATTCGAATTTTCACGCGTTTTTATCGCCGGAGAAGAGTGATTAGGGTTAGCGATCCTGAACGCTCGCAAGGTTCGTCCGCAGCCCGCGACGCCGTTTAAAGGCTGCGCCAGGCATAATAATGACGTGCAGCCAAATGGAAAAAAAGGGCTAGCGTAGCGTCACCTAGCGGTAGGACTTGGGAGCGTTCAAGTAGCACTGCCAAACCAAGCCAATCCATTTGCAGCCAACACAAAAGTCAAAATGGCCGCTCCTTGATGGTGTTTTCCGCTGATAGCTCGAGATGATTTTGTCCAAACAATCGAACTTTATGACTTCAAGCTGTCCAAAACATTGGTCGTGAATATACACTATTTTAATGGGGTAAGTCACGGTTCCGCCTTTAGGTCCGAAATATCGAATAAGTCTGAAATATCGGAGTCCGAAAAAATGGTCGGCGACTGTACCGAGAAATGTTAAGCTTGTTTTATACCAGACTTGATTTGTTTCTCACCCGAATTATTGTTATTTAGTTTGGGGCACAACCACCCGCACGAATCTAAAAACAAATACTCCTATTGCAAAAAACAAAAATGTGTTCCTCATGGAGGATGCTTCTAACGACTCTAGCACCCAGGATCTGTTCAGAAAGAACAGTGTAGTTCCTGTTTACAACATGTACAAGTATAGACTCACTATCAGTTTTAGAAAATCAAAGAAATGGGGATAGCTTAGTAAACCTTGTGGAGCTAAAAGAACGTGCAAATCGGTCGTCAGAACGTTGGACTGTGCCACTGTGTCACAACAGCTATTCAATGCAATCACTCAAATAGAAACTTCCTACTATATTGAACATACTAATGAAAAAATGACATTGATAGTATTTCTATTGCAATTCAGGAATTACAAACGGGCCTAGTGTGGCGCGAATACGAATGAATCGATTTATGAGACCTGTTTGATTTTTGTATTTTACTTTGTTGTGTCGGCTTTCTCAATTTGTTTTTTGCTGTTACTTCGTTTTGGCTAGTGTGTATGCCACTTCAAAGCAGCAAAGGGCTCCGTCAGGCAGTTCTTGCAGCTTTTTTCCCTCGTTGCCTTCATTTATGTGTCGAAATGGGAAATGATGTTCCTTCATAATAATAAAAAATAATGAATGCAGTACTGTCTACTCCCTTAGTTTGTCTGCGGTGTACTGGCGTGAACGGCCACGTTTTGCTACTAGCAAGGTTGCGGCCGCCGCCGATATACGTGCTTCAGGCTTTGCACTGTTCCTCGGCGCGGAAGAAGGAGCCGCTGCGCAGACGGAGCGGCAATTTCCCGCCCCAATTCCACCATGCGCAAGCGCCACCCTCTTCCTTTTATTAGAGTGCGGGCCGCAGCGTAAGGAGAGGGCTTGTTTGTGCGGTGGCGTTCCTTGGAACTAGGACGCGTCACAGCCATTTTGTGTGCCGTTTGAGGGAGGGAATCGGGGAGCCGTTTTTGGCGGTTACAGACAATGCCGGGTGCACTCCATGGGACAGGTAATGCTTAAAAAAAATAAGAGTAAGCTTTGTTTTACGCTGGTCAAATACGTCCCCAATGATACTTTTGTCGTTGAGGGAGCCATCTGCTGGCCTTTTACCAACACCAAAGACTACACCGACGAAGAAACGTGCGGATGAATGGGAAAAAAATGGCAGAAGGTGTCGCGCCTGCAGTTGGCTCATGGACGTGGTAGTTGGTCAAGTGACGGAAGTGACAATCTATACGAGGCCAATAAAAGGCCAAAGACTCGTTGAGGGCATTGTAGTTTGACTGTGTGTCGGGGCTGTGCAGGACCAAGCTGCTGGACTCGGAGGAGGTGTGTGGCCAGCTGAGGAAGCAGCTGCAGCGGTCGCAGGCCCGCCTGTTGCCGAGCCCCACGACGGTGGCCGTGAGCGGGGTCTACGACGTGGGCGCAGAGGAGGCGAGCGTGGACGACATGCTCGCCCAAGCCAAGAGGGACGTGGAGTGCCTCACGCGCAAGACCAAGCACCTATCCAGGGCACAGAGGTACCCTTTCCTCTCTAAGGGCAGGGCTTTTCCAGTAGCTTGGTAGGGCCCCTCGTTAGTGCCTGGTTGAGCGGGACTGATGCTGAGGAAACAGCTTCAACTCGCGGGACAAGACTGTGAACAATTCTTTAGTCGTGAAACATTCTTTGGCTAGGAGTGAATCAGCACCGATTGTTTGACGGGTGGGGGAGGATGGGACCAGAGGGGCAGGCGAGGAGGAGCTCAACCACCTGGGAATTATGGAAGGCCCTGGAAGATGGCTTCATTCTAGGAACGACTATGCATAAACTGCCTGATAAAGAGCGCCGTGAACATGTGCAATGCTGGAAACTTGCACATAACAATTGCCATATTCATTTTCCTTGTCCCTCAGTCTTCTTGTGTTGGCGAGATTTAATAACTGGATACATTTTACGTACAGATTGATTACAACGAGGAATATATAGCGGAAGAAGAAGCGAGACACAAAAATTAAAAAAATTGGCAGGGTCTCTTAGGTGATACCTCAGATGACTTGGAGGCTAAAGTCAAGCGCCGATGTGAACGTGATAGCGAAGCTCCGAAGGCCTCTTTGCTGACCCACTTTTGGCGCCGTTTCATTGGTACCTTTCGTCTCGCCGACAAGGACTCTAAAGGTCAACTGAACTATGTCCTCTCCGTCTTGCGATGTTTGTCGTCTTGTCTGGTTTGCCGCATGCGCTTGACGTTTTGTCCACGATATTCACGGGTGGCGTTTGCCGCTGACATTCTCAGTGCCGTTCCTGCCGTTGCCCTTTGTAGGCGCGTTGCTCTTGGGGAGTGTGTACTACCGTAACATGTGGAGCCCCCACTTAAGTAAGTGCCCCCCACATCTTCCGGGAATTTCCCATTTCTGTAAACGACGGCGCAAGTGCCCCGCCCGTCTCCAAGGCATTATTCTTTTAGTCTTGTTTCAGGCTTTTTGACTGTCGCAGTGTACAAAGCCAATATTGAATCCAACCCAAAAAGTTGCTACGCGAATGCACCACCAGCCATCGTCGCCATTTCCTTAGCTGGGAGCGGTTGTCTTCGTTCGCCAAGCATCCGTATACGGTTCAAAAGAAACTCAAAGTTGTGAATTGGCATCGGAAGAACACCTCGCCATTTCAAGTTGGACCGTAAGAGGGCACGCGAGAGGGACACCAAGTACAGAGTTTCGCTGCAACACAATTTCGGGAAGTTGAAGTACGACGCCAATTGAGCAACGGTGCCTCCGTCTTCAGTGAAGTTGACGATACCCTGTACGAGTTCTTGGAGAGTGAAAGCAACTCTGGACATGTGGCGAGGAGGGAGATCTTGACGAACGGCTGTCTGACGTCGGCGCCCCTGTCCCCGAGAACCCCGACGAGCTGCAAACCGAGGGCCTCCTCTTTAGATCCCATTCTGGGGAATCGTGCTTTGATGGCGGCGGAGCTGAATGCCAGGATTTCCGTTTTCCGGGTTGAACATTGACTGAAGTGTTGGTAAATCAGTGTTTTCAACAGTGCTTTTCTTTTCACTTGTACTGGCCGCTATTTTGTGGCCGCCATATTGAATTTTTGGCCCAATCTGAATAAGGGCCCCCTGTATATCTAGTCGAATTACCTCCAAATTTTGGGGGGCCGCTTGCTTAAGATTTTACAGTATACGCTGCTTCCCCATTACGACCAGAGAAGAGGAATTGACTTGCTGCTGAATTACCCGAGCATCATCGAGAATGCAGGGAAGAGTGTTCCACACGCCGCATCTGACGGCGTCTGCAGCAGTAACATTTCTAAAGCAAAAGCCTAAAACAAATGGCATCTTGCACTCACGTTTGTCAATGGTTTATTCTGGTTATTTACTTTGAATTTCTTATACGGGGAAAGCGTTTGCGTCGGTGCATGATGTGGTGCGAGCGTAGTTTTAGTCACTGCACACGAAAAATCTACGAAACCCTAGCCGTAAACAGCTTCGCTGTAAAAAAAAGTTTCGAGGACACCTAAGCACTTCTTAGAGTTTGGAATGCGAAAGCATGAGTGTCATTCTTCCGCTCCCTTAGTTCGTCTGCAACATACTGGCGTGGACGCCTATAGTTTACTACTGCCGAGGGAGTGGCCGCCGCCGACATTCGCGACTTCAGCGAATCATTGGGGGCGCGCTGGTCAGGCAAAATGGTAAATGAAAGCAGGTCATTTTCGTCGTTCAGCGCGTGGACCACCATAAATTTCTTGCACTGCAGCGTAAAATGTGTGTTGCACCTGAAAGCAAAGCGATTTTTCGACGGTAGAACGCTTGTTGTAGTCAGTGCGTAGGAATGACTAGGCGGAAGCATAAAAATAAATGCTGGAAACAATGTTTGTTTCTATGCTACCTACAAGAGCCAAGCAGCGATAGCAGACGACAGAGTCGAAACGACCTCGTATCCTGAGCATCTCGACGTACGCGACATCGGTTTCGCTGGAGTTGCCAATAGGTGCCTCAGGCGCTGCCATGTTTTTAGGTGCCGAAAGCAGCAGAAGCGGCCCCCCTTTGGCAGCGCCTGACACGAAAGCGGGGCCAGACTCTCCAATAAGCTCCCGTGCGGGCCACAGCGCCAGGAAGGTCTTTCGAGGGTGGCATTTACAGGATTTTACAGTATACGCTGCTTCCCCATTACGACCAGAGAAGAGGAATTGACTTGCTGCTGAATTACTCGAGCATCATCGAGAATGCAGGGAAGAGTGTTCCACACGCCGCATCTGACGGCGTCTGCAGCAGTAACATTTCTAAAGCAAAAGCCTAAAACAAATGGCATCTTGCACTCACGTTTGTCAATGGTTTATTCTGGTTATTTACTTTGAATTTCTTATACGGGGAAAGCGTTTGCGTCGGTGCATGATGTGGTGCGAGCGTAGTTTTAGTCACTGCACACGAAAAATCTACGAAACCCTAGCCGTAAACAGCTTCGCTGTAAAAAAAAGTTTCGAGGACACCTAAGCACTTCTTAGAGTTTGGAATGCGAAAGCATGAGTGTCATTCTTCCGCTCCCTTAGTTCGTCTGCAACATACTGGCGTGGACGCCTATAGTTTACTACTGCCGAGGGTGTGGCCGCCGCCGACATTCGCGACTTCAGCGAATCATTGGGGGCGCGCTGGTCAGGCAAAATGGTAAATGAAAGCAGGTCATTTTCGTCGTTCAGCGCGTGGACCACCATAAATTTCTTGCACTGCAGCGTAAAATGTGTGTTGCACCTGAAAGCAAAGCGATTTTTCGACGGTAGAACGCTTGTTGTAGTCAGTGCGTAGGAATGACTAGGCGGAAGCATAAAAATAAATGCTGGAAACAATGTTTGTTTCTATGCTACCTACAAGAGCCAAGCAGCGATAGCAGACGACAGAGTCGAAACGACCTCGTATCCTGAGCATCTCGACGTACGCGACATCGGTTTCGCTGGAGTTGCCAATAGGTGCCTCAGGCGCTGCCATGTTTTTAGGTGCCGAAAGCAGCAGAAGCGGCCCCCCTTTGGCAGCGCCTGACACGAAAGCGGGGGCAGACTCTCCAATAAGCTCCCGTGCGGGCCACAGCGCCAGGAAGGTCTTTCGAGGGTGGCATTCCGTCAAACTATGACACGGACAATGGCTATCTAGGAGCCATTTTGCAGGAAATTTCTTCTACGTTTCTTGCCTCTCAACCATAGGCCAGTATCTTTCCAGAGATTGTCTCCCCCCCAAAAAAAACTTCACGATCTGATTTACCAAATTCCTCATGCTGAATGCAACGCCTCGTATGTTGTGGAAACAAAGAACTTTCCCGAACGTCTGCCCACACATAAGTATGACGCGAAGAAAGACATTCAGGGCAGTTTGCTGGCGTAACGTGCTCAGGATGCCTTCGTTGACCGTGTAAAATGCACCGGTTCAGATAAAAACGGAGTACAAGTTTTTTAAGCTCTCTTTCAGGCAACATATCAAAACGTTAAGACTAAAACGCCATAGATCCCTCAATATTTTGAGAGTTATCTCCCACACGACTCGGGGTTCCTGTCGTTTGTGCCTGTTAAGAATCTATGGGTCCATTGCGTGGTCTCGTCTAGATTATGCATGTTTGGTGTATGGATGAGCGAGTGCATCAACAGTGAAAATGTTGGATCAATCCATTGCGCAGGGATCCTACTTGTCACCGGTGCATTTCATACATCCCCTGGGTTGAGTCTCTATTCTGAAGCTGAAGAAATGTTCCTAGAGAAAAGGCGAGCTGTCTTGGGTCTAACGTATTCCCTCAGGATACGGTCAGTATCGCAACATCAGTGTCGGGAACTAGCTGAGGGAACAGATTTTGAACTAACCTTCCAAAGTAAGCCCTTTTCACTGCTGTCTCGGCTAGCCTTCGGACAAACCCGCCTGTTGCTCAGTTTGTGGGAACTGTGGCACCATGGGAGCATAGTCTGCTCATCACAGACTTGTCACTCACTGGGTACACTAAGGAAAATACCCCACGAGAAGTCTTAAAACAGGAATTCTTTCAGCTACCAAATGCACATAAAGACTACACCAGCTTTTATACTGACGGCACAGAAACCGACTCCTCTGTCGGCTGTTCCGGGATGGGATCATCACTTAAATGTGTGCGGAGGATTAATTCCAGTGCAATTACCTCGACTGCCGAGTTTTATGGTTCACTACTGGCCACGGAAGATATTATCAAAAATAGGCATACATACTCTGTAGTTTACGCTGATTCACTAAGTGCTCTGAGAGCAATCAGATCCCTTGAGATAGCAAAAAACCCTCTAATCACTCAGCTACATCATAAAGTGGTTGCTGCAGCTGTGGAAAACAAATTGCGTCTTTTGCTGGCTATCACGTGGGTATACCTGTCAGTGAAGCTGCTGATTATGCCGCATGCGCTACAAGGAATGTTGATATCCAAGACTACAAAGCGACCGCAAGGAAAAGCGTCTGGTGTAAATGGCAAGAGGAATGTTGTCGGGAAGCAGATGCTAGAGGTGTTGGCTCGTCACAGGGACCGTTTTTTCCAGGTCCCCCTTCGACGTGTTTTACTCGGCAACTCTACACCCTGCTCTTCTGCTTGGAGATGAACCTTTTCTACATGTTTTTAAATTCCTAGAAAGTGCTGGACTTTTGCGCTCACGTTAAACTAACTTCGCAACTTTCAAATTTTTCATCTACATTATTCATACACAGATCCATGTCCATCATTTTGTTCTATCACTAGCCACTAGAGTGCTCTTTCTTCTCTAAAAACTGTTTCTTGAAATAGTTGCAGATTTTGCCGCTCTTTAACCTTGGATGCATTTGCGCCAATAAGACTCCATCGATCGATGAATTGCTCGAAAGCGATTGTAGTGTTGCATCGACTTGCACTCATTCCCGCTACTTCCGACATCCATCTGTACCAAAGCAGCAAAGGTGTCTAGTGCTCCCGGGCTTTCGAAGAAGCAATTTGAGTGGACGGGATCGTGGGCACAAAGCCCCATGAAGCGAAAGGGCTTTGCTCTTCGGCAGCATACTTCCATTTGCCGGAAACCGCCCATAACGACAGTCACAGTGTTAAATTTGAGAAACACAAGTGCTGCAAGAATGAGCAAACATTCCCGCCAGGCACGAAGGAGAAAAAATATGACTGCATTAGGCACTCATAGTTGCCAGAGATCTTGGTTTTCCCTTTAGTAACCGGTAATATAGGATAAAAACCAAATCTCCATTTTGAAAAAAAGAAAAAAAAGCGGCGCATATAAATGGAATTGTACGCTTGTGCATTGTGTGGGTTTTTATGTACTAAAGATGTTGTTGCGACAATTGCCAGAGTATTCTGTAAGACGTATGCAGAGGTGTGGATGTTATTCTAAAACTTGAATGTTTTGAGGCAGGCAAAATGTTGTTTGGTTGTCCCCACAGAGAGGAAGAGGAAAGGGAGAAGAAGTCTGATGCGGACGAGGGCACGGCCGAGGCCAGCGGCAACGACGAGAGCTCCGAGTCCGAAGTGGAGGCCGACGAGGACGGTGAGGAGCCTTTGGATGCGGGGGGCCAATGGCTGGACAAATGCAGATGCTCTTGGCCGTGCGAGGGGAGCGCGCTAGGAGCTCTGCCGCCAAACAAAATGCGGGCAAACTATGGGGTGCCTCAAATAGCGGCCAGGCTCTTTAGATCGCCGCGTGATTCAGTATCTCAATCTATCGCGCTACAATTTTGTGCAGCGTTGCCCACAGATGGTAAATTTTTTTTTGGAAAATTTGCAAACAGAACTTGCCTGAGGAAAAAGTAAAGAAAGAAAAAGGCTAAACTCCTATGCAAATGCAGCGATGCCACCGGTCTTCAAACAATACGGCGTCGTTTTGCACGGGAGGCGAGAGATGGTGCGAGCGGTCGTGACGCCAACTGCTGCTAACGAATGAGCATACACTCTAAGAAAAAATGGAGGAAAAAAGTAGCAACGCCGCGCCTTCCTCCCTTCTACCGACGCGCCCCCAAGCGGACACGAGAAAAGGGGAGGAACGAAATGTTTTTCTCCTTCTCCAGGCAGACGGGAGAAAGCTTTCGCCCTCCCGACTCATCGTCTTTCGGTTTCGTTTTTCGAGCAGGTCGCGCACGTTGTTTAATAAATAGCTGTTGAGTTGATTGAGCTTCAGCAGCAGCGAAGGCCGCCTGTAATTCCGTCTTCCAGTTTAAACGTCCAGAACATTTCGGTTGCATTGACATTTTTATCACTAATTTTATCAAACGAGCAAACGAAGCCGCTAGAAACAGCGAAGTTCCGGAGCAGTGCCAGCAGCGCCACGTACACTGGGGGATGGCCGTCTCCGGATTACGTGACTCGCGCGGCACGGAACTATAGCCACTGCAGGCTGCAGCACTACAGACTACAGTAGCGAAAGCACGCGGAACTGTGTCGACGTTTTCGACGTTATGGAAACCGCAGGAACTGCGTCCAAGACAGGCAGGTTTTGCTGCCGGCTGCCTGGGTGCCTTCCCCCCTGAGTTCAGTTCTGTTTTCCGATGCCGAGTGCAACCGGCGTTCAACGTGGTTTTGTGTTTGTGCGTGTCAGCAACATAGCTGCAACATCGTGATGACAGTTTTGGGTTGTGAACAGAAGACTGGAATTATCGCCGATGTGACCATGTGTTCGCGTATCAGTGGTGTAACAAGAAGATGAGATCGTAAACTGTTGGGCATTGATGCCGCTGGTCGGGTTGTGATCGGAGGGGGCGGGGTGTCGCAAGTTGACATTCCGCTTTACATTAAAAAGTTTAATACCACTTGAGGGATTACGTGCAATCGATCAACGTGCGGATAGTCATGTTGGAACGCTGGTCTGAACAGTAGAAGCTCCTATCGTACAGTGGCCAATGTGACTGTCGGAATGGTCTCGTCCCCGACAGCGATTGCGTTCTGGGGCAAGGACTGAACAGTACGAAATCGTGACGTGAAGTACGTATATTTACAGTATGGAATTTCGGCATTAAAAACAATAGTAGGTAAAATCGAACAAAAAAAGCTACCCTTTATTTCGCTGTTTCATTATACTACGGTTGCTGGAGAAACTACCCTCCGTGGCGCGCTGGGATGAGCGCTAGAAGTTTTCGGGCTCGCCACGGCGTAGTTCCGTACACTTAAACCTGCCGCAAGTCGCGGCTTTGACTGCATTCAAGTTGATCGAAAAGCAATTTCTCAGTCCGTGAAGCATCACTTCCAGCTGACTGAATATCCGCTCTACAGAGATTAATTCAAACGGCAATTGCAGCTTTGCGCGAACAGCACAAATAGAAAAACAAATAGAAATACAAGCTACGACGTGCCGTGTGGGGAAACAAACTCATGGCTTCGAACCGCATTGGAGCGGCTTGATTTATTGGCTTTCAAATAATTACGGCATGATTGAGCGTTTAATTTTTAATAAGAGATTCAACCCCTGAGCCATTCAAAATACTTTCAGAGGTATGACATTGCAGGGAAAAAATCAACATGCTGGGAATATTTGTTATTGCTTAGGGAGTCACCGAAAAGTTCCGCACGTTCAAAACGACCAGTATAAAAGACGGAAACGCAGAGCACGGGTGTAGTGTTCGGGTTAGTGTGGTGTTCCGTTGTATTGATATTTGTGTGTGCAGTGCATGTGCTTAATGTATGTTCACCTGATGCTTGTAATAAGTGTATGGGTGTCATGTGTGTATCGTGTGTATAGTAGAGGGTCCTCAAGCGCAGTAGTGGCCTAAGAGAAACAAATAATTTTTTGTAGAACATGAATTGGGCGGTACTTAGCGCCACCTAGCCTAGCTACTTGCAATTACTCTGCTTGACCCCGCCATCTGGTGGCTAGCGATTTCACCTTCTTTCACGCTACGCCGCTACGCTGGCTACGCGATAAACAGCGGCTTCGAGTTCGTTCTTCCAAGAGCGGCTTTTGGTTTCGCGGAGTGAGTTTGCCCTTCTCCGTGATGTGCGGTTGACGAAGGAATTGTGACTCGAGGAACACCAAAGGTAAGACGCAAAGTGCGCGAAGTAACTGGGTATCGGTTGTCTCCGTTTAACATCGCAGTGCTGTCGACGAGAAGACTGAGTAACTGCTTTGGAAACGCAGGTTTCTGTACCTGTGGGGGGAATCTGGCTTCGGAAATAAACACAGTTTGCGGAAAGCTCGTGTTACGCTTTCATTTGCTGCTGCTCTCGTCCCGTACAAGAGACGTAGCGTCCTCGTTAAGCCTTATTGGGCTCGATTTGCTCGATTCGGGGCCGCCATATTGAGATGCAAGCGACGGAGGAACTTTGCTCCCCTGCTTCAGGGACGAAGGTTTCTCCCTTTCTAAAGGAACATAGGTTACAAGACCGTTCCTCCCGTAAGGGAGGACTATACGTACCCTTTTTTCTAAGAGTGTACGGCGCCGTGAGCCGGCGTCATTAGCAGACAATATTTTCGACTCAAAAGCGGTGAAAGCTTTTTTAATATCAGTTGCCAATGCATTATTCTATCACCCTTACTATTAAAACGCATCGAATGGACACATGGTTGATTAAAGAAATAATTTGTCAAAATATTTTGACTGTTTCATTTTTTTTTTTTTTTTTTTTTTTGGGGGGGGGGGGGGGGTCTTATGTCGTCTGCTTTGCAGTTCCTTGTTACCACGCCTGCTTTTGGTTCTGCGACTGTCGCCGCTGCGGAACGCGTGCCGCTTTTGAGTCCAAAACATTGTCTGCTGATGACGCCAGCTGTTGTCGCCGTATGCTCGTTCGTTGGCGGCTGTTGGTGTCGTGACAGCTTGTGCCATCTCTTGTCTCCCGTGAGTTTCCATAGGAGCTAAGCCTTTTTCTTTCTTTACTATTTACTCAGGTAAGTTCGCTCTTTGCAAATTTTACAAAAAAATAATTCACCATCCGTGAGCAACGCTGCACAAAGTCGTAACGCGATAGGCTAAGAAACCGAATTTTGTGGTTCATTTAAAGAGCCTGGCCACTATTTGGGAGTCACGGCGTTTTTTCTTACGGAATTGTATATCTCTCGCAACTGCCTGCTTCTGCGAGGATTGTGACCCTCTCCCATACAGTCGGGAGAGGAGGAGGACGAGCAGAAGCAGAAGTTGAATTCGCTGTTGGAGTCTTTCGTTGGAGTAACGCTGTAACCTGCTCCGTAACGAATATTTATTTATAAAGGTGTTTCGTGGGAGTGCGCGCCCTTATCCTATTTGGAACGGACACGGACCTTGCACTCCGAGGTTGCTTTTTTGAGCGGCCCTGCTGGGCCTCGATTTATTCGGAACTGTAACTCGGTAGTTTTCACGTTCGTCGAATACCAAGCTGATTTTTTAGGTCTCGGTGTTTGCAGAGAAGTTAAAGATTTGCCATTCCAAGACACTCAAGGCACGTACCAAAACGCGGCCAAAAGGCAAAAATATTGCGTGTCAGCAAAAACTAAGATATAGTTTACATCGCTCGCTCATACAGGTGTAAAAAAAAAGGTGAGTTGGGAGGGAGCCAACCATTGGAAGGGGGTGTGCCTTGCAGAGAGGTACAGCCAGGACCTGGTGAACCTGACGATGGAGATCTCGTGCAAGCAGAAGTTGATAAAGCAGCTGGAGCAGAGCCAACGGCGGCTGCACACCACGCGCATCCACTACGAGGAGAAGCTGGTGCAGCTCCAGGCCCGCATACGGGAGACAGAGCTCGAGAGGGACCGCATCCTCTCCAGCGTGGGTGGGTTTTGCAAAGAGGAGGAGCTTTGGGCCAGTTGTCTAGCGGAGACGGTTGCAGGCAGCGCTGGGCCCTCGAAGGACTGGGAGGAGAAGGTGCGCAAGATCCGGGGGGACTTTGAGCGCCGGCTGGGCCAGCTGCAGGGGGAGCTGAAGAAGATGCAGGCGGCCAGGCGGGAGCACGCCCAGCTCATTAAGAACCAGGCCGAGTACGAGCGCCAGGTGGGCAAGCTCAAGCAGGAGGTGGCCGACATGAAGAAGACCAAGGTGCGTCCATCCGGGCATTAGTTCCGTTTCTCTATTACCTCACAGTTACCGTATTATGCGAGGGAAGGTTTTCATGCCCTCGAAAAGAAAAAAAAAAGTCGAGGCTGATTATAGTTATTGCACTCGGGGGCACGGCTAGAAGAGAAAAGGGAAGAAATATCAGTTCACGTTTTGACTGCACTCATCCGAACTGCTCAGGTTCTTCTCACTGTGGCAATCCACTTGGCGGCAGATGTGCACTACTCTTTTTGGGGCGCGAGCTCCTCCGCTGCCCATAAGCAAAGCGACGCGCAAAGTACACTCAAACACCTGACCACTTTGAAGCAGAAACTAAAAAATGCCCGATGCAGGATCATTGTTGTTCTGGTCCCTCTGCATAAAAAAAACTGAGTTGCAAGCTTTCGTGAACACGGTGCATGGTTTTGGCTTGGCTTGCATTGACTTGACTTGGCCAGGCTTGGCATGGCTTGAATTGGTTAACGCCCACGTGGTGCACTAGCTGCCTTTCTGCGCCGTGCTTTTCGGCGTATGTTGTAGAAGCATACGTTTTTGACCCAACGCTTGGTGAAGGCGTCTGTTACGATGGGGAAGAAATGGAAAGCACCGGGAGTGCGACGTCAGTAACGCATCGCTCCTCATCTGCTCTTTAGGCAGTCCCCTTCACGCTGACGACGCTGACGAAATCATTGTTGCTCCATCGGCTCGTTGGTTGCCGTCGAGAAGCGCTTGTCGAGCGCTGCGAGTGCTTCCTCGTCCCCGTTGCCCTTCTCTCCCTCTCGTCTTTACCTGGCTTGGCTGTGCTGTGGTTGCCGAGGCCATGCTGTAGTAGATCCGTTTTTCCCTCGAGTCCATCGAGCAAAATGGCACTTTTGCATTTCGGACTAAGGTCATTGCCGTTGACGGCTTCCAAAAACTTGAGGAATGTGAGCTTCCACTACCGCCACTGCAAGCAGGCTGGTCTCGGCGTAGCGAGGAAGGCGGGTGGTGATAGACTGTAGGTAAACATGGGAGCCATCGACCGGTCCCAGTTATTATGATGAAAGGCGTAGTACTTTCTTAATCCTCGTTGCCATAACTCCGGTGTCCCTAAGACGCGACAGGAGGAAACGACTGCCTTATTCGAACAGTGAACAAAGTGTACTTTTCTTTTCAAGAACCAGAAAAGAAATCGCGTGTACAATGCGGTTGCCAGATGAGACGAAGGATAAGAACAGCGTTGTCAGCATAACAAGCGCACGGCGGAATGATTCTTGTTTCCAGGCAAACTGGCGCAAAGCCACTGCCCGTTAGAAGGGGTACAGCCGTTAAGATTCATCGATCCATCCACTCTGGACTGGAACAAGCCGGAAATGTTTGTTCTGGAACACTGACTGTCACCGTTTTTTCGGGATAATTTGGTGGAATTTGGGGTAAATCCGGTGAGGCTATGGCTTTCTAGGCCAGCGTGAGGTAGTGTGGGCGTGAAAAGGTATTGCAAGAGCCCAATCTGTGGACCCCCGTTGTGGAGAAAGTAGCCTCGAATAGGTTTGTTTGGGGCAGGTGTCGCTCATGACGAAGATGAAGGAGGGGAGCCGTTGTCACCAGGAGGCGGAGAAGCGGAGGCAGCGTGAGGTGGCCCAGATGCGCAAGGAGAACCGGCAGCAGGAGAACCGCATCCGCTCCCTGGAGGCCCAGAACCGCACCAAGGAGATGGTGCTCAAGCGGCGCCACGAGGAGGTGGCCGCCCTCCGCCGCCAGGCCCACCCCATGTCCAGTCGCGTGGCGGGACGCCTCGGAGGTGAGCACCTGGCCATTGGGGGCCCCTCCCAAGGCTCTGAGGCGCCCGGATCCAAGTGAAGCGGCCGAAGTGCCTCTCAAATTTCCCCACTAATGTTAGCTGGGAAATTTTTTTCCCTAAATTTAGTGAGGAAATTTTTCTACTAAATTTAATGGAAAAATGTTTTCTGCTAAACTTAACAAAAACATTTTCACGCAAAAAAAAAATTTGCCACTAAATTGAGTGGGTAATATTTCTGCTCAATTTAACGGAAAAATTTCCCTGCTAAATCTACTGGGGAAATTTTCGTTAAATTTAGAGGGAAATTTTGCGACAATTTCCCGCTAAATGGTAAAGGGGAAGGAGGGGGCTACGGAGGGGTAGGGTCCTCCTCAAGCGCTACACTCCCATTCGGCATTACAGGAAATTGTAAATGTTTTTAATTTTTTATACAATTTTCTCGGTGCATTTTATACGATGCGACTCGTATGTGGGTTTCTTTAGCAAAATTTCACTGTGCGACATCATTTTTCATGCGTTGCGCGCCATCTTTTGTAGAGCACCGTAACTCTGTAGGCATAGGTGGCGTTGCCCCTTCCAAGAGGACGGGGCTGTCGCCGCACTCCTCTACACTCTTCATAACTGACTCCGAAAGCGAGGAATTTGACGGTTCTCCAAAGCAGTACAATGTGGATAGCAGAGGCAGTGAGAATCAAGTTGTACAGCATGCAATGGCACCGCTTAATTCAGCCATGGTTCCAGATTCTTTTGCTTGAGTCCAGTAACGCTGAAAGCTAAGAAGGATGGTATACGTGCATTGCATGGAATTTTCTCGCGTCTTTCTTAGTTTCTGTTTGATGAGCAGTGTTTTTCGGTCGTTCTATTTTGCTACGTTGTAAAAGGAATGATTTCGGCTAGCCGATCTTTCAGCAACGTTTCATTCTCTCCATCGTTTCCCTTTTGCACGCATGTGCTCCGACTTGGGGGAAATTGGGAAGGAAGTACGTAAAAAAAGGAGTGTCTTCCCCTCTTTCATTTTACTCGGGTGTCCTCCAATCACCGTGCCGTTTGGGTAGATTGAGAGATTGCCGAGTCCGCATCGGGGTATTGTAGGGGTGGCCGATCGCTCCGTGTTTATTCGGAAATGGATATTCGCCCAGAAAGGGGCAATGACTCTGGATATTACGGTGCTCGCCCGGCTGCATTTAGATGCGCCTTGCGGGATTTCCTTGTGACGTGGCCAATTGATTGGGGCAAAAGAAGTTGACGGCTCTCATAAAATGACTGTCCCTCGTGTCTCTGCAACTAAGTAAGCCCTGCTTTCTGGTTGTAGGGAAGTCTCTGTTGGTCTCTCCCAGGGTGGCCAAGCAGAAATGGCAGACGCTCGAAAAAAATGTAAGCATTCGCTTTTCAATCATTTTCTACCTATGAGGTTTCAAGCTGCACCGCCAGTACGTCCTGCAAAAAGAGACGGTCTGAGGACGCTCTCGTGTTTCTCCCTTCATTGGTTAAAGCTGTCTAACTGAGGCAGCCTGGCTTTGTGCAAATATTTAAATTTTTGAATATTTGATAATCGCTCGAGGTGAGCTACGATATTCCCATTTTTCCAATTGGGGACTGCAGCAGGTGTGCTTTGTTGAGCGGGATTCTAATTGAGCACCGATGCACCGCGGAAAAGCCACACCCGTGAAGCTCGCTTCCTTAGGTGCTGCTTCTCTGCACTGCACCGGTGCTCGGTAACAAGTATGGGGCTAACCCCGAAGTGGTCGAGGCTTCAAAAAGTACAAATATCTTAGTTGCAAGCTTGGAACAAAAGCACACTTGAAAGAAACAAAAACTAGCGCAAATGTTGTGGTAAAATTAAAAAAAAATGATGCTGTCGTTATTATGCAAGAGTGTATATGTGAGGCAGAGATGCCCCTTCATCCATCATTCGGGATTGTCTGGGAAGTTCTAGATAGAAGAAAGGATATTTGCATAAATCCCCAGTTAGATGGGCTTAATTTTCTGTCCGTCATTCTCTTGCCATCCTAATGTGGGCATTGAACTTGTGGAGACATGTTGTAAAAAGTGTAACCTTGGGAACAACCTTGGTGGGTTCAGCTGGCAGGGTAGTGAAAGGCTCGGAGAAACTATTCGATACTCAACTAGAAAATATTTTGTCAAAGCCACTATTGGCTAGAAGTCAAAATTTAATATTTGCACACACCTAATGCAAATGCATGAAGCTGCTTGGAACATATGTGCAGATAGTCGGATGTCTGCAGCAAACAGTGTCTCATAGGATCTTTGGCCTAGAGAAATTGCGACGAGCTATTTCTGGTTATATTTTCTCTAGGATTGCGCGAATATTTCAGTTTTCGAATAATCTGGAATAATACGCTACTCGATGTTTGCTTGGAGCTGAACTGCATTATATTCCTATTTTCCCAAAGATCAGCCCCGTTGAGCAGGCTTCTTACTGAGTGCCGCTGCACTGCGGAGAAGCAACACCCGCGGAGCTTGCTTTGGCGGGTGTTGCTTCTCCACAGTTTCTTGGTAAGATGCGCGTTCCATTAGGTATAGCTGGCCATCTCTACGTTCCAATGTGTCGTTTCCTTGCCATCCCAATGTAGGCATTTAAGATAGACGTAAGAAATATCTAAATGGAAGCTTGCGAATGATCTTGACAGCTGGATTTTTGTTTAGCCCTTTGCCAGCCTATGTGCGAGATCCACTTGCAATCCCAGGAAAAGAGGTGCTTTTCGACCCAAATCAATGAGCTGTGCATTGCAGAAAGTCTCTGAGAAAAGCAGTTAGGATGAAACTTAAAATTTATGATGTTACCTCGATCGAATGGGGAAAAAGGAGATTTCATTGTGAGCCAACGTCCACCTAAACCTAATATTGTCGAGACAAGAAATTAGATTGGGACTGTCTGTGGCATCTATGGCAGTGAAAAGACCGGTTCTAACAAAGACAACGGGAATCGGGCATCACTTGGCTATATCCGCTATTTTCTTTTTTTTGTAACCGACTTTGGTTAGAACAAAGTGGGAATGGAAAATGGTGATTGCTCTGCTGTAGCCGCTATTGGGTTATAACCGGTCTCGATAGTATCCTCTTTCTTGTTTCGAAGCAATACAAATCCCGTCCACAATAGACGGGATTGATATCTTGGGTCCATACGAGGCTTAGGTGCAAGTCAGCTTGTAGCGAAAATCTCAGTTGTATTTTGATCTAGGTAACGTAATGTTCTCAGACTTTGCATTCTATCCCAACAGCTAGCGTCACAATCTAACGGAGTTTAAGCTTTCTGCAATGCGTACCTGTGCCAAAAAACGCTGCTTTGGTTTCTCGGGAACTTTCTGTGGCACATTGGAAAGTTTCCAGCTAAACGACAAACTTGGTACACCCGGGAGGTGTTGCTGTCCATATTTGGGTCAGTATGTTTGTTCGGCTGGGGCTATTACTACTTTGGAGTATGCTAAAGGCTAGAAGACAGAAGAAAGGCTCTTTGCATTCATTCTCGGAAGAAAGCGCAAGTTCTGTAAAGTACTTCCGCTTGAGAGAGTAACGGAAGAAAGCCTTTTTGCCCTCAGCATTGCCCTTTTATGCTTTCTCAAACTGAATAGTACATGCCCCCGTTAGACAAAAAAAACATGTACTGACTTGACCTTAGTGCTATCCTTTTCAAAAATTGACTGGAATCTCCATCATGCGCTTTGGTTGCGCGAGGCAAGGCATCTACTGGTCCTCTCATGGACTGTAGGCATCCCCGGAAGAAATTGGGATATGCTGTACGAGGATCGTTTTCCCTCGTGTCTCCCCGAGAGAGATTGTTGCGTGCATTGTCATTATTTTTTTTTCTCGCGATCTAGACCCAACTTGTGTCAGGTGTGTTACATCGCAGCCTAAGTAACGCCGGGTAAGAGATACAATCCAAAGAAAACTTTATGAAAGGAACATAATGGCTTTTTTACAGATGGCTGCTCCAGGGAACACCCCAAGTTTGTTGATGATGATTATATGGGCCCGCAGATATATACAGCAAGGTGCTTCTTCCTAAGCCAGGAGAAACTGCAACATGCTGTCTCATTATTTTTCTCCCGACACGCAACTTGTGTCTAGGGAAGATGCTTGTACCACGAAGTTCCTGAGACTGTAAATTTCTTAGGAGGTCGTGCCCAGGTGCGCGTCTAGGCACGCATACCTAGGGGGAGGCACTCACTTGATCAAATGACGTTTTAGCCAACACCCACGTTTCACCGAATGACACTTCAGCAAATAGTTGGACGCCGCGAAGCAGTGTTTTTGGGTGGGCCAAGCGGGTTCACACTTTTGTGATAAGGCGCTGCTGACTGTCGCCGCCTAGCGGCGTATGCGCAGCGCAGGGGGGGGGGGGGGGGGAGGGGGGGAGGTTAACGCGCGCCCCCATTATTCGCTAAAACGTCGATTTGCTCAAAAGTTGCTAAAGCGTCATTCGCTCATGTGCTCTGGACCCAAGAGGACTTCAGGAGCGTGGGAACCTTATTTATTGCACTCTTGAATTTCGCAGATTGACAAGCTTGTCCTGAGCAAGCAGAACATCTACACCCTGGAACGGGACATGGAGCGTTGGCTCATGGTAAGCCAATTGCCCCACTCGTGATAAAAGAACCTCCTAATCTTCCAGATCGAACTGAACTTATTAGGTCGTCTAGGGCATTGGATATATGCACGAGTGGATGACCGATCAAATTAAGCTTTTAACGTAGTATGTGTTTAAGGGCTGGAATCCTTGAGATCATTACCAAACGTTCAACAAATTCTTCAGAGTGTGATTCGTGAAAATTTTGTAAAGGAAATTCAAGATGCATTTCAGTGGGAATCCAGCCCCTGAACCCGGTGATTGTGAGTTTGACATTGCACCACCTTATGGCCAGACGCAAAGCTTGCTGGCTTTGTCTACTATGCTAAAGTCTATACTGACTGTTGGGACGCTCGACGCCGACATTTGGCGTTGCAGGTCAAACAGTTTCTGGGAAGAAACAAGAAGTCCAAGATGTGCCCACCATCACGTAAAAGGGGACAAACTATATAGACACGCCATAACCCTCAAGCGTGGATGTGTCGGGGACCCCTTCGGAGTGTGCCAAAGTCACGGGTGTATACAACAACTAATTGCAGTGTGAAGAGGGCATCCTTTACTCTTATTGGTAAGGAGACCAGACCACAAAGCCCGTTTGTTTCCCCAACACAAGGCCCGTGGACAGGCCCACACGCCTTGCGGGCAGGTTTCCATTATCTTCTTCGGTAGAGCACGGGGTTGTGCGAATAGGGGATTTTGATTTCGAATGAAATCCGAAGCGAATAGTGATTTTGGCCGAATATTTTCGAATCGAATATCAAATACTTGTTGTTAAGAAATCTTGGCCGCAAAGTGGCATGCAAGATAATTATTGCAGATGTGCAATTATTAAGTGGGTTGATTTGTGAGAATGAGACCCTAATTAATTTATGTATGACTTATTTATTGGAATACAGGGCGCCAAGGTTTACAAAGATGGTGCAGGCATTGCTGAAGCTCATTGATCGGTTTCTTTTGCCGGTTTTTAAACAAAGTCGATGAAACGAGTACGATGGATATATTTGACAGTTCCCACCGTAATATTTAAACCGTTCTGCCGAACGTCTGAGTATATTTTTGATTTTGGAAATTGTTTCTTACATATTTTTAGACAGTAAACAAACTTGCAACTCAAGGTTGCCAACACTTCGAAAAGCACGAATGTTACGACTGCTCTCAAATCGAATATCGAATAGCGTAATATTCGAAACTACCATTCGAAAATTCGAATATTTGCACAACACTAAAAATACTATCAATAAACGAAGAAGTCCCTCTTGAAAGTAGTCATCAGGCAGGGTATGGGAACTTGACCCGCTTGGGCTTTTGTGCTGGGCATATGCAGCGTGCATGCTGCATTGTTCCTGCAGGACAGAGGGCTGGCCCCCCTTTGGGCGACCGGAAAGCTCCAGCCGGACACCGACGCCGCATTCGGTTACATCGGCCGATCCGTGTAGTTCTAAAGTTTGGGGCACCACAGCCTGATCTCGTCCCGACAGAAGCGAGAAGCATCAAGAGGATGAATAGACGGATAGATCGGGACGGCTGTACCTTTATTAACGGGGTGGTAGTTTGCACCACCGTAGTCAATAATACTTTTTTATTTCAAAAAAAAAAAAGGGGGGGGGGGGGAGAGCTTTGCAGACTGGCTGTAGCGAAAGAAAGAGTCCTTCGAGCTTGAGCATGCTAACCAAGACTCGTAAGTGCAGAAGGTGTTATAGGCATTCCATGGAAGAATAGAAAAGCGTCTTAATGGCACTGTCCACCGAAGATTCGCTTTCATTTCTGACAAATTCTGTGAGGTGGCGCTACACATCCCCTCAAAAAAGTAAAAGTTCAGGCATCTCGTATCGAACCAACGTTCGACACATCGATCAGCACGCCTCTCGTAAGGAGGCTTTCACTGAAGACTACCTTCGCAGTGTGGTTTGTATGCGCCAGGGATAAAGGACTCTGGCCACGGGCAATGAAATGTACAAACTGTCGGGGGAGAATAACACCCCGCTTCGACTCCTTAGAGCCCCAAAAAAGTCTGATTGAGCCAGTTGACAACTATCGTACAAATCGCGCTTTGAACGCCTCGTTTAGTTTTGTTTACCTTTAACTTTCACCATTTTGCTTTGTTGTTTTTGTTTTGACATTAATGCGAGAGCATTAACTTTCCCATGGAGCGAGCCGACGTCATCAGCTTTGAAGACGCGCCAAAAGGCACCTATTATCCCCGGTCCCAATGGAGCCGAATGAAGCCGCAATCTGTAGGCTCCCAGCTTTGAAGCCGCGCAAAGAGCCTCAGAACACGGCAGCCAAATTCACCTTTCTAAATGGAGGGAATGTGACGGGTAGGTTCGCATTGGCTGGTGCACGTCATAGTTTCAAGGAACGAGGCTCCCGTTGGCCAGGCGTCAGATTCAGGGCGCTGCGGGCCCACGCCGGGAAATGGCTGGCTGCGGGGCCACCCAGAGCACGCTCGGACAGACTTTGGAGCGGCTCGTACGGCTGATGTCGGCGCGGCCACTTCACGAGAGCGCCCGCTCGGCCTTTGGCCCTCGGCAGTAGCAGAACGTGGCCGTCCATGCGAGTGCGCCGCACTAAGGGAGCGGAAGAACGACATTTATGCTTTCGCATTCACAACTCCCAAGAAGTTGTGAATGCGAAAGCATTCACAACTTCTTTGTTCATTCACAGCTTTTAATGAAACCCAACAACCCTTTTACGTATTACAAAAAGAAGCAGCCCTTTGAATACATTTATAATATCGCGGACACCCCGGTTACTGTGGAGCGAGAATGTAAATATCTTGGTTTAATTATATCGGACACACTTTCTTGGTCTCCTCATATAAAACATATCTGTACTTCGGCATCCAGGAAGTTGGGTTTCATTAAAAGAAAGTTGAACGACGCTCCGATTCAGGTTAAGCTACATGCGTATTATTCATTAGTCAGATCCAAGTTGGAGTATGCAAATATCGTTTGGGATCCATTCACTCAGAAAGATATCCGGAAGTTGGAGATGGTGCAACGTCGAGCGGTTCGGTTTATTTACGGAAAGTATAGAAGGCTGGATTCACCATCTCAACTTATGCAGGCTAACGGAATACAGACTCTTCAGGCCAGAAGAAAACTAGCGCGGTTGAAATTCTTGTTTCATCTTCAGCAAGGACAGACTCGCATAGACCCATTGCAATATATTTCCCCTTTAGCGTCAAGAGCTACGCGGCACAGACATCAGTTTTCACTAACACCCATTTTTGCGCGTACTAATATGTTTAAATTTAGCTTTTTCCCTCGCACTATTAGCGACTGGAACGGTTTACCTCTCGAACTATTTATCGACACCAACTTTGTAGAAGGTCTCGAGCGTCTTGATAACTAACATGTTTTGCTTTGTACATTGCTGCACCTTCATCTTTTTCGCATGGACATTAGGATTGTATAAACCTTCATACTACATCTGGATAGGTCATTTTGTATTAGTGCATGATGGAATTACATACTGCTTGATGCTTGCTTTCCCCCCCTCCCCCTTTTTTTAAAATAATATATCCTGTATATTTGCTAGTTAGTTGTAAACCTTTTAATGTCGTGTTATTTGCTTTCGTTTTATGTGTGAATGTATATGTTGTATCCCACACCTACTTGGGCCTTCGATGGCTTGTAGTATCCTCTAAATAAAATAATAAAAAAAAGTGGTGAGGTATTTAAAATATTAAAACGGGGCAAAAAGACGACGGACCGGATGAAGGAGGTGTACCTCGAGCTTTTTTTTCTCGCTTTCTCGACTTGTTTCTGTGGATGAGGAAAGGGACTTTTGACAGCCTGTGGCAGGCCCTTCCCACCTCTGGAAATGATGTTTGGCATAGGGCGTCCGTCAACAATATTTTCAAATGCTGGAGAAAGATTGCCATGGCGTTCTGAGGATTGGATCTTGGGACCACCACCTGCATTACCGGGACCATTGAGAACCTGTTGGCATTCGATAAACACTGTGTGTGCGAGTCTTGAGAAGCGCCCACTAGATGGCCGCAGTTGCTGCGGCGTCGCCATAGGAAGTCCTTAATGCGATAGCATTCTTTAGTTTCTCCCCTCCCGTTTCCCATATTCCTGGACTTTCTGGCCTCCTAATGCACACTAGGTATGTGCAGTAGACCATTTCAGGCCACATTCTCGCACACATTTGCACCATTTTTGAAGGACCTGGTGACCTTGACGTCGCCCTAAAGGTCGTCTTTGAGGTCGTCCTTCGACTGCCCTAGAGGTCCTCCTAGACGATGTCCTAGAGGTCTTCCTTGCGGTTGTCCTTGATATCGCCCTAGAGGTTGTCCCAGATGTCGTCTTCTAGGACGTCGTCCTAGGGGTCGTCCTTAGGGTTGTCCGAGACGAATGCTATTTCAATTCATAGGCAGTCAACAGTAGTGGTTTCTGCAGCCAGTTTTTATGATTCTTAATTGCAAATTTCATCGGAGTGAATCGTTGAAATTAAAAGCTCTGGCTAAGTGGCGTGAAAAGCCGCCTGCGCCATTTTGCGGAAACTGCGCCCCAGCCAATACCTAACGCTATTGTGCTCTAAATCGCACAACGCGTGCCAAAAGAAATTATATTTTGTCTTGGTTTCGGTTATTATCGACTCAATTGGCAACGATGAGCGCATTTAGCTTGGTCGGTCTTGCAATTTCTTTTTTCCGTTTATTTACCCTGTGTATCCCAAGTCGGAAGCGCGCGAAAAAACTCGGGGGTCGGATTCCGAGCGCTGCATCACCTGCGACTGGATTCTTATTCTTCAACCATAAGCGGTTAAGCAAGTCAGCCGAGGTCAGGTTGAGTCGTTAAGCGTCAGATCGCCTGAGGCTCTGCGGCCCGGGTTCCGGAAGTCGGCCAGTTGAAAACAGATTAGCAAAATATTCCTTTTAGTACTTTATCGTTAGAAGTTGGAACCTCATTCCTGCAAGATAAATCGTGATTTGATTGAACTGAAACGCGGTCCGATCCGAATCCTTGCCGGCCAGCAGCTCTCACACGAGTGGTAGATCTACTCGGCGTACATTAACCTTGCTCCTGCTTATGGCTTAGAATACGATAACTTCGTTTATCGTAGTCTGCTGCTTCAATATTGAGTTGTACAAGAGGATAAACTCGAAATTGGTTGCCGTGTTGCTCCGCGCAACTGCACGTCCGTTGCTTACGCACGTCACATGGTTCGCACATATAATTACTATGTCGAGCACGTGTGGGTTGTGCTACAAGCAGTACTGGTTTGCAGTTAAAGCAGCTCAAAGCCACTCAGAAAATATCAAGGACACTATCTTCAGAAACATATGGTGCTTGCTTTTCGGTTCTCATTAAGGCCAAGTTTTCGCATCTGTTACACTGTTATCCCATCTACCTAGGTTCCTAACCACTATGTTCATCTGTGCCGCTAAGCAAAATTGAGATTGCTCCCGTGTTCCTCTAAGACACAAGCTGAAGTGCAATGGAAACTGATTTGAAATGCTCTTATCCTACTCCATAATGTAGTTTTAGCTGCTCCCAACATGCTCCAAAACAGCTGTTTCAGCTGCTCCCGTGGCTGCTCCCAAGTACATCTCATGAGTTCCACCCCTGTTTTACGCGTCCCGCGGTTTTAGTTCTTTAATTTTTTTTTATTGCAGCCGGGCGCATTTGAGCAGCAATGTCCATGGTTTTTTACGACCACACCTTAAAATGGTTTTACGGTGCAATCCACTTACAACGCTACTACATATAAAGATATACTGCTTATAACAATCAGTTTATAGAGCTTCTAGACTAAAAACGATCAGTTTCTAGTCCAGATACAAGGATAATTGGTTATACCGACTGCATTTTTGGGTTTTCTCATTATCGTTATAACTGGATTGCACTGTATCGCATTTATTGCTTTTTGAATGCTCCAGTTGGTAAGCTCCTGTTTGTCAAAATCTTGGCTACAGTGGAGTCTCATTAATTTGAACCCGAGCGGGACCAGGTCTTTGTTTGACTAAAGCAAAGTTTGAATTACCGGGAGTTTCCTTCCTAGAAACACATAGGACGGGACCTGCGTGTTAGTAATCTGAATTATCCGAGAATTGAAATAATCGAGTTTGAATTAATGAGATTCCACTGTATTAGCGGACACGTGTAAAAATTTCAGGTGGAGTTTAAGTTAGGATACAGTCACCGACCAACTTTTAGAAACTCTGCAGGGTCTGGAAAACGTCCGAATGATGGGTCAGTCCGAAACATCGTCAGATAAAAAAAAACTTGCCATGTTCCGTCTACGCGGGTTTAAGAGGGGACACTACCGAGAAAAAAGTTTCTGCAAAAAAAGTTGATTTTGAAAAATTACATAAATACATCCAACAACATCTAGAGAGTATTCCCAGAAAGTTTCATTAGTTTACACTACATAGTTCATGTTTTTATAAATTATTTTCTGTCCACCAAAGCTAAAGAAAAGGTAGGGTTTGGAGCACTTTAAACGCATTTTTCTCCGCTCCACGTTTTTGTATAAATTCCATCCTATCGTTTGATAATGGCAATACAGGGAAGGCTCGTTCTCCACTTTTCCTGTCTGAAATTTAATAAGGAGTGCGACTATGGAATGCTTTTGTCACTTTACAGATGTCTTTTATAAAAAAATGTTGACATTTTATTGAAGACACAGAAGACCGAAAAGTTGACCAATTTTGCAGGAGAGAAAATTTATAGAAATAACTGACTTCTTACAAAAACCTTTTCATAGTCGCACTCCCTAGGCATTCTGCTACATATCTAGCGAATACAAATCTTGAATATTGTGATAGTTTTCCGACGATAGGTTTACTAAACAATGTGGACGTGTTGCTGATAGCAGCTGTTCTAATTTCCTTCTCATTTACCCGACAGACCTAAAATTTTGTTGTGCACCCTCTAGCGTGACTACCAGCCTTCCCTGTAAATTTAATTAATTTTAAGCCAAGGCTTCAAAAGTTGACCCTCCTAGGGGGTGTGCCCCCTTAAAGGGGCGCCGACACATCACAATAATATTTTTTTTTGTTATCCGAAAGGTTTGAAAACGATGCCGGGACATTACCCTCAAAATTCGAAACTTGAGAAGTTAGTATTTGCGGCATAAAAAAATAATTTCCAAATTCCACATTCAAAGTTCCCGCGCGATCCACGCCGGTGCGTTGACGTCAAATATTGCGGAGCCCTGCGACTCCACTTTCTTTTACGACTCCTTGCTGCTGCCATGGCGGGCCAAAGCAAGGAGGAAAGGAGCGAGCGCCGGCGGACCGGTTCTGAGCAGTGTCGCCCGTTTTCCGTGGGAGGACATAAATCCAGGAGGTGGCACCACAACGGTCTCCAATTTTTGGTATTTCAAAAAGAAGGGTCGTAGTTCGTTCGCAATTGCGTTAAAAAAACATGTTTTACGATTGCCGTTAATAAATGTTATAAAAATGTCGCCTACAAAGCTTCTAAATTTCCTGATTCTTGACGTCACAAATCAAAAGAAGCGAGAAGGCGAAAAGCGGGAGAGGAGGGCGCCAAAATGTAAAAGGGGCGCGCGCGCGTAAGAACATTTTTTTCCGCGATGCGTTTTTTTTTTCTGCGTGTCTATGACTACAAAGTGCATCGCTTTAAGCAATAAAAAAAATACGACCCTTGGGGTGTCAGTGCCCCATTAAAGAAGCCGTCACTCGTGCCAGGTTACGCCTCCGCTCGCGTTGGGCCACACTCTATTAGCTCGAGAATGGCTGCTTTCTTTTCTAGCGGTATGGCCGAGTACCTTCTGCGCTTCTTCTTTACAGCGGCGGAAGAACAGATGGGGTCGTGACGTGTCCGAGGCAGCAGAGTCCGAAAACACGATTCACCCAGACGAGATGAGACTGCAGAATGGCCAATGAACAAAACAAAATGGTAACACTGATGATGATAATGACGTAACATAGTGTCACCTAGCGGTAGGACTTGGCAGTACTCAAGTGCCGATCCACGCGCAGCCAATGTGGAATCTAAAATGACGGCTCCTCGGCACTGTTTCCCACCAATTGTTCGCGACCACTTGGTCAGAAAAATTAAACTTTTGGATTTGAAGCCATTCGAAACTTCAATCGTGAAAATGCATTATTTCTACGGGGTAGGTCACGGTTCCTTCTTTAGACCCGAAATGTCGAACATGTACGAATTATCGGCGTCCGAAAAATGGGGTGGTGGCTGTACTTCTGTTTATCAAATTATTGATATGTATAAGTATTTTAGGATTCCCTTTAAATTAAATGTACATTACAGTGAATGCTTCCAATACGAATGTTTTTTTTATTTTTCTACAGGAGAGGGAGAAGCTGACGCGACACCTTGACAAGCTGATTCGCAAAAGAGACAACGCTCGGCTTGCCGGGAAGGTGAATATCTTTCCCAGACGTTGAGCCATATGGCATATTTACGCAACTGCAGGTCGACTCGATTGTGAGTTGAACCCTGCGATGAAAGACAACCAACAAAAATCGTGCTTTAGGGGCATACTTTGTGGCAGACATTTACGAATCGCTAGACTGTGGATGGCGTGCTAACTGAATACTAGTGCCCTCTGGTTTGGCTTGCATGCCGATAAAAGGCAAGGTACAGAATGTAAAAGGGGATTTACCTTGTATCTGGCGTGTTGTCTGCTCATGTCCCTCGGCTGCCTCTGCTCCTGCGGCCCTAGTCTCGGGCGCCCAAGTCACGAACGCTACCTGGTGTCGGAAACGGGTATCCAGCGGTGCCCAATGGGCGCTGGGCATTGCTTCGAATACCATTGGAAAGAATGCGCCAGAATTCACCTCTATCTCGGTTTTTTCCTGAAGTGTTTCAGTTTCCCTGAAAGAACACCGACAGGTTTGCTCCTTGGGGTACTCTGCCCATTTTCTGTGACTTGGTAATAGACGAGCATTCTATCACAAATCCTCCAGCAGGAGTTTCTCTCTCTGGACCAGAAATATGCAGACTTGTTGGAGTTTTATACGGATTGCTCCAAATGGTCGTCTTTTGTAGGATGTACTATTTATTCTACTTCATACAGGAAAGCCATTCAAGCTACTGCAGAGCTGTACAGTATTTTACTAGCTGTCAAACATATACTTGACAAGAGCATAGTGAAAGCTGTTATCTCCGTCGATTCACAAAATGCCTTACTGGCTGTGTTCTCCCTGATGCCTGCAAAGAATCTCCTTTCACAACATCTACACGTCGGAATCAGCAGGGCCCTCCTACGCGGTTGGGATTTAAAGTTTTGCTGGGTGCTGAGTCACGTTGGGATCGTGGGCAATGAAGAGGCAAATGAAGTGGCTCTGTGAGCTCCAGCCTCATCAACAATATCCAATGGCGTACACCACTTTTGAGGAATCTATTTTTCACACATGGCAGCTGGAATGAGATACAGAGAGCAACAACAAACTCCCCATTATGAGGCCCGTTCTGAGCATTTGGGAGGGCTCTTATAACAGGGAACGTCGCACGGAGGTGCTTCTGTGCCGTTTAAGAATAGGTCACTCCTGATTGACATATCTGCTTCGTGGTGAAGATGTTACAATATATGTGACCATTGTGGAGAGCTTTTCAACAGGTTACACATTTTACGGCATTGCTCGTCTCATCATTCACTACGTCAAGCCTGTTTCTTGGAACTTTATTGAGATCATCTTTCGTTTGGCGTCTCGTTTTTGCTTGGTGATAAACCTTTATTTCCTCTCAGGCTAAGCTCGGAGGGGAATCTTCCCCTCTGAGTTTTGGCAGAACTTATTTTATGTTTCGAGTTGGATTCGAGAACCCAAGTGTTATAGTTAAATGGAACACTGTGCAAGTTTTTGGAGCACTCCAACATTATGCGTAGCAACTGGCTACTGCCAAAGTGGGATTCATATAACTTGAGTAATGCTTGAAAACACCCGTTTTTAAGTTATCGTTAGTGGACGACGGGGAAAGACGCTTCCTCGTAGAGCTGGTTGTCGGGGCTCTTCCCACAACCAATGGGACTTCTCTTTGTGCCATGAGGGAAGAGAAGGGTTTTTCCATCTCCACTGAGTTGACTACAAATGCAAACACCGAAATTCCTGCAAAGTGTCACCCATAAAGCTATTGCTTTAGAAAGTGGGCAAGTTTGTCAGAGGCCCTGGCTCTTGAAGCTGTCAAGCTAGACAGCAACCTGCAGCAGAACAGGCCGACATCTACTGCTGTGACACTGCTAGGATCGCGACAACGAGACACTTGCGTTGGCGATTTTCCTTCTCGAAGGCAACCAATAAGTTCACAGTGGTGGAGTAGAACCCATTGTTTATTAGCGATACGTGGAAATGGTTCAATGTAGTGAACAAACCGGGAGGTAGCATGACGCAGCGACTGACGCTTGGTTGGCTCGTCTTCAGTGCTGCTCGGCTGCCATCCGATGCTGTTGACGGCCGTACCTCCACGGGGCCATGCGAAATGGGGAGTCGGTGGCTGGAATTCACTCGGCCCCAAGAACTACCGACTTGGCAGTGGGCGAGCTCTCTCGTACATTTGGAAGCGTGCTTAACAAACGAAAAAACAAATGACCCAAACTTGTATGACGGCATGGGGCGGGAATGAAGTCTCATTGTAGGCTCCAGCAAGGTGGCCCAGTAGCAACCATCGTGGGCAGAGCAGGGTGAACAGAGTGGGATGGAACAGGAGTTGTCTATTGGTGACAGGAAGCCTTTTGCCATTGAGGGACGCAATGCAGGCTGCTTTTGAGCAGATGTGAGCAACGGCCTCTATTCCTTCAGAATGCCCTTTTCTGTCTGCACTAGTTTCTGGGGAGACCTAGCTGGGATCTCGTTTCGGACACGGATGTTTCAGGACGAGCGCTATGTGCACGACCTGGAGGAGCAGGTGGAAGGGCTGCAGGCGAATGTGCAGTATGTGAACATGGAGATCACAGACTGCCAGGCCAACATCCTGCAGCTGGAGGAGCCCAAGGAGGAGCTGCTGGACGTGGCCTCGCTTCTGGACGGGACCGAGTCCCCTCAGGCACGCTACCTCTTTGACAAGCTGCTGCACATGGCCATCAACCAGGTGGGGACCCTCTTCACCTCTTTTCTGGGCTGAGGCACTGCCCAACATTTCCAGCACCAAACTGCACCGACTGGCTGCTGCGCAGCGGAACTGGTAGCCCTGCAATAGGCACATTGTGGTCTGGACAGCCGTGCGGTTAACCCAGTTAAAAATAACCATTGCGTCCAATTAGTTATTGACAGTTAAAACCAATGGGGAATCCTATCTGCTATTTCGGACTCCTAGCTCGAAAAAGTCATTTGGTTCCAATTAGTTATTGACAATCAGAACCAATGGGGAATCCTATTTGCAATTTCGGACTCCTAGCTAGAAAAAGTCAATTGGTTCCAATTTGTTATTGACAATCAGAACCAATGGGGAATCCACTCTGCGATTTCGAACTCCTAGCTAGAGAAAGTCAATTGGTTCCAATTAGTTATTGACAATCAGAACCAATGGGGAATCCTATCTGTGATTTCGGACTCCTAGCTAGAAAAAGTCGATTGGTTCCAATTAGTTATTGACAATCAGAACCAATGGGGAATCCTATTTGTGATTTCGGCCTTAGTTAGAAAACGTCGATTGGTTCCAATTGGTTATTGGCAATCAGAACTGATGGGGAATCCTATTTGTGATTTCGGCCTCTTAGTTAGAAAACGTCAATTGGTTCCAATTAGTTATTGACAATCAGAACCGATGGGGAATCCTATCTGCGATTTCGGACTCCTAGTTAGAAAAAGTCAATTGGTTCCAATTAGTTATTGACAGTCAGAACCAATGGGGAATCCTATCTGCGATTTCAGACTCCTAGTTAGAAAGAGTCAAATTGGTTCCAATTAGTTATTGACAATCAGACCCAATGGGGAACCCTATCTGCGATTTGGGACTCCTAGTTAGAAAAAGTCAATTCGTTCTAATTAGACAGTCAGAACCAATGGGGAATCCTATCTACGATTTCGGACTCCTAGCTAGAAAAAGTTAATTGGTTCCAATTAGTTATTGACAATCAGAACCAATGGGGAATTCTATCTGTGATTTCGGACTCCTAGTTAGAAAAAACCAATTGGTTCCAATTGGTTATTGACAATCAGAACCAATGGGGAATCCTATCTGTGATTTCGGACTCCTAGCTAGAAAAAGTCAATTGGTTCCTGAACATCACCAATTGGAACCAGTTCGGCATTGTCAATTGGGTGGAACCAATTGGAAAAATCTATTTGTGTTTTCGGACTCCCAATTGAAAAAAAAAACATTTAGTTCCAACTGTTTAAATCTAATTGACAGATACCCATTGGTACAACTACTAGTGTTTGGATATCCCAAACTAGAAAAAGTTGCAACTAGATCGTAAGGTAGATAATCACAACAGTTTTTATTTAACTTATTAGAAATGATTTCTTGCTTCCAGGCATCGTCGTTTTCTTCCAGGCTTGTAGTTGCAGCTTCCCTAAAATGAAGGATAAATAAGCTTTGAATGACTTTATCGGACTATAAATGTTGAAATGAAGCTTAGAAACCTATTAAAAAAACTTTCTCGCTGCAAAGAAATTAGTTGCGGTGGTATAAACCTGCAGGAATTGCACTGAAAACTGCAGATATTGGTTTGCGGCAAAAACCTGCAGGCCTTGCATTCAAAGGCAAACATCCCTGGGTGACTGAAACAGTCTGGTCAAAATTAGGAGATGAAGCTTTTGTCGAGGGACTGGCTAAATTTGCATGCGGGATGGTTTGACTACTCAGTTTCCTGTGAGCCTGTGAGACATACTATTCTTTGCTATAAGGGGAAAAACAGTTAATCGAAAGGCATCTCTGTAAAGCTGGCCAGTGCACCTGAAAAATGCTTGTGCATGGAGGAAAAAATAAGTGTCTTTCGTATCTAAAAAAAAATCGTACATTGCAGGCTGTGTTCCAAATCTAACTCTAATGGACCAGAGGCAACGCTGGATGCTGATAGGTTTTAGAGGCAAAGTTCCTTAGGGTCTAGTCTTGTCCGTCCGGCGTCTGTGCTCACATCGATCTTGCTGGTGCTCGTGCTCGTGAGCTCACGTGCTCTCGTGCTCGTGTAGGGCAAAAAAAATGAAAAAAAATAAAAAAAATGATAAAAACAAAATGGTTGTGCAGTCGAAAGGATTCGAACCTGTGCGGGGAAACCCCAATAGATTTCCAGTCCATTGCCTTAACCACTCGGCCACGACTGCGAGACGAGTAGGGGGCTCTGAGATGTGGTAGGAACTTAAAAGCTGGGGATGTCATGGATGAAACGTTGCATGTAGACGCTAATGACTATACAGGAGGGGGCGCTGTGGTCTAATGCGTGTATAATCGCATTAAATCCTGCATGCATATGCTCAACGTTTATAGACAAGAGGGCGCTGCAGTCAAATGCTCAAATGCGTATATAACCACGCGCCATATCACACATTATCTTTTTGACATGGATGAAAACGAACGAAAGGCTCGGCATGCTGCGGCTCAGTCTACGCAGACAAGCACCACCAGAGTTTCGTCCCAATCAACATCATTCACGACGAGGAGATGCGGTCATCTTTCTTGTTTTTTTTTTAACTTACCCTGAGTGAGATAGAGTAAATTTTGAAACATGGCTGCATATAGCCCGTCGAATGAGATGCAACATTTTCGGGACCTACGGTTATTTTATTAAAGTCGTCAACATTCGGAGGTAATGACCCGTTACCCGACCTTACCAACCGACCCCCCCCCTCCCTTCCCTTTTCTTCCCACTAAAATTCCCCCAAAATTGCTTAATTTTGAATCCCAAAACTTCAAGTTTTGAAACTGTGCCCCGTCAGTGTTTTCAGCAATCCATAGTTTAGTTTTCAGATGCTTAAAACACACTAACTTTTCTCGCGAATACCCAACAAAAACTTTCGAACTGATAGCTGCCCAGAAAATTTTCTTCTCTAAAGCTATGCATTCAGGCTCGTATCGTTCACTGAAGATCAAGCAATGAGTGTCTCAGCAGATCTAACAATCCGAAATCCCCGAACTGCAATGCAGCCAGCTTGAAAAGAAACAAAGAAAATTCCTTACCTTGCTTCCATGAAGGTTTGTTGCCGCCCCCTAACGATCTGACAGGTCAAATGAAGTAATTATCACTGCACCATTGAGCACTCTACAGCAAAACACAAAAAAACTTTCTTCAATCATTGCCATAACCATGCTACGAATGCTGTGCATGCCATCTGTGCCATGTGCTTTATGTTTCCAATATCTAGCCACCATTCTTCCACCGTCCTCGCGGCGCCATTGCAGCCCAGTACAGACCGACGCTGCTGGCGATTCCTACCAATTCTAGCAACAGGTTTTTTTTTTCTTTTTATTACAGCCTGACCTACAAAAAGTTTTTCCGCAAGGTAGAAAAATTATTTTTGCCACCCTTCCCATTTATTCCTGTCCCGTTGCTATCTTGACGGTGGCGGACTCCTTTTGTTGCTGCGTCTTGGGGCTGGATAAGCCGGGATAAGCTACCGGCTTATCCAGTTCCAATATGTAGGAACAAGAGGAGCCCCTGCACCGCCAAGATAGCAATGGGAGAGGAATGAATGGGAAGGGCGGCAAGAAGAATTTTCTTACCTGGCGGAAAAACTTTTTGTAGGTCGGCCTTTAAGTAGCGTCACCAATTTTTTTTTTCCTTTTAATTTGCGATGTTGAAAAAATTGATTGCAACGCAATACTGAAAAAAAATAAGTTTCATTTGAAAATAAAAGAAAACGTAACGCATTCTTTGGAAACGTATTTCTTGGTGAGGATAAAGAGATAATGGCAAGTTCTGTCTAGAACGGTAGTTAATTCGTAAAGTATGCAGCCATCAAGCGTACAAACTACATTTCAAACCAATTACAATGACCAATTGGCTGAACCAGAAGCGGTTGGAAATATTAAACCCAACTGGTTTTTTATTGATCCCAATTGGGGATCAATAAAAATCAATTGGAAACATTGAAAACAAAGTTGGAAACATTGAATCCAATTAGAGTGACCAATTAGGTAACCCAGTGCCAATTGAATTTTGTTGGTCCTAATTGGGGTAACCAGTTGGAAACATTGAATCCAATTAGTGACGAATTAGGTGGCGCAGTGCCAGTTGAATTTTGTTGGTCCTAATTGGGGTAACCAATTGGAAGCATTGAAACTAATTAGAATGACCAGTTGGATGACCCAGAACCAACTGAATTCAATTGACTCCAATTCGTTCTTATGAAATATCCTGATGGGACTCAATGGTTATTTTAACTCGGTTGTGGCTTGGACAGTTGCTGTTTGCACAGTTGCGGTTTCGGCAGTTTTTCTGGGAATGGGACAATTGTAGTTACCAGCGTGTGCGCTTGAAGCCGTGATGTTCCAAGTTTGCCCAGCGTATGTAGAGGAACAGACACATTTGACCTTGAAGCTTGCAAAAAAGACCATTTGTTGAATCGTGATTTGAAAGTGACTCTCTGCCCCTTGTGCAGAGTGTTCAGGCAAACCAGCACCAGGCGGTGGTGCAGGAACTGGAGGCCAGGCTGCGGCAGGTGGAGGCCAACAATGCAATGAACCACGACCTGCTGGAGCACAGCCTGTATGCCATGCAGATGGACGTGCTTGCCACCGAGGAAGCAGGTGGGCACCACATTGCCTACCTGGGCAAACTGTTTTGTAGCGAGGTGCTGAGTTGAGCACGGTCATGAACAGCACACAAGAGGATAAGCGCCTCTTCTACAGTGTCTCTTGTGCGCTGTTTATAACCACCTTTTTATTCTAAGCGATACATGACTTAAACTGACATCACATTGGCTGCTATTCTGGTGGCTTTGATTGCCTTCGGCAGCAACGTTTTACAGCATCGAATTTGCTTTTTTTTGGCAAGAACTAGTAGGAGTGACCACCTTAATGGTGCAACAATGTTGTGTGTAAGCCTCGTATAGGATTGAGTGCAAAGAAAGGAATGTCAAACCTGAGAACACCACGTTTCATGCTTCTTAAAAATAAGAAAAATGTGGCGTTTGTTCTGGTCTTGCAAGGGCTTGCATCTAGGGCTACTATAAAGGGCACCTTCTTTCTTAACTGCGGCATATAATGCTGACATTACACATCCTGCCATAATAAAGGAATGTCAGTAGGGTAAGCCTGCTTTTCTTCGTAAATGATCTTTACTGTATAGAGGCTCAACATGTACTTTTTCTTTAAATATAGCGCGAAAATTTTTATGACATTTGCATGTTTGCTGCAGAGGTCTTTCTAGTACTGGAATGGGCATTTGTGGGGCTTATGTTTCTTAAATTAAGACGATTTGGAAGCCTAATGATTCAAATAAATTTCAGGCAATGTTGACGAAACCCGAAGTTGCGCTTGCGCACAAGTTAATTTAACAGATGCAGCAATAGTCACGCTGGGGCCATTGATGGTGACAGTCAAGACTGCGGGAAAAGCCAGCTTCTGGGTGCGTAGAGCTCAAGTGAGGCTTGTCAGGCAATTGGTCCTAGTGGTCGGCACCTGTTCTTTTTCCATTGCGAGTTGTTAAAAAGATACACCCGTCAGCCTGCATGTAAGGGAGGACAACAATCTTGCAAGCGGTTACCATGGAAAGCGACAACAGAAGCAAGGACGAGTGTTTTATCGTAGAAACCCGTGTAAGGGCCGCACATTTTTTTTACAGTGGAGCTGTTGAGGGCTAGTTTCCCCAGGAAATGTGGCGCGAGCTGACGAGATGAAGCAGGTTTTGGCCGCAAAGAAGTCTGCCACACAACGGAAGTTTGACCTTCTCAGTCACTGTCGAGGATGACGAGACAGATTCCGGCACGCAGTTCGTGATCGTAGATCTTGAATGTGTTGAAGACGTTCTTTGCGACCACCAAATGTGGGCAGTGCGGAATGGCCACGCCCATTCACAGGCTGGTGCTTTGAAAACGTCCCCTAAAAAAGCCCTTTTTAGGGCTAACCAATTGTTGCATATGGAGCTGCTTTCCCTACCCGTGTCTCTTCCTTAGTATGAAATTCAAACCAGAGCCATTCCACCCATCTAAAGCTTCAATATTGTTAGTTATGCATACCCAAATTTCAAAGTCGATTTTCTCAGCTTTGGTTTTTTCAGCCTCCTCTTCGGCCAGGAAGGCTTTTTGATTCACTTGGGCTCTACCGAGGTTGTACCATTTTCTGTGGAATGAACTAGACTGCAAGCTAGAGCTATTTTTATTATGATATTTTGTGGGATATAAAACTGGTATTTCATTATAAGACATTGTTATAGCCGCTGTTACATGTCTTCTCTTCACTTTAATTTTTTTACATGATTATATGGTGCTAAAGAAATAAAAATTGATTTAACTTGTATGGCATTTCTTTAGGAAGCAATTGATACCTTTTTTTCATTAAAATTTTAATAAGGTTTTTTAGAACCCTTCCTGAAATTAGCTAATTAATATTTTATTTTGTTGATAACTTTTCAGAACAAGATATCTGAAATCTGATTGCAGTTATGAAATCACCACAATAAACTATGTGCCTGTACAAAAAATCGTTAAGATAGACCAATAATCAAAAATTATCGCATCTCCACGTGGTGAATGATGTTGATTGGGGCGAAGCTCTGGTGGTGCTTGTCTGCGTAGACTGTGAGCTGCAGCATGCCCAGCCTTTCGTTCGTTTTCATCCATTTCAGAAAGAGAATGTGTGGTATGGAACGTGGTTATATACGCATTTGAGCATTTGACCGCAGTGCCCTATAAACGTTGAGCCAATGCATGCAAAGTTTAGCGAGATTATATACGCATTGGAACGCAGCGCCTTCTCCTGTATAGACGTTGAGCGTCTACATGCAACGTTTCATCCATGACATGACCAGCTCTTGAGTTCCTACCGCATCTTAGAGCCCCCTACTCGTCCCGCAGTCGTGGCCGAGTGGTTGAGGCATACCTCGGCAAACCTCACTCATGAGGGCCCTCACTCACCCTCATCTTCACAGGTGAGGTGAGGGTGAGTGAGTTTCTGGACCAGGAAAATTCATGAGTGTGAGGGTGAGTGAGGGTGAGTGAGGGTGAGTGAGGGTGAGTGAGGGTGAGTGAGGGCCGTGAGGGCCGTGAGGGCGGTGAGGGCGGTGAGGGGTGTGAGGGGTGTGAGGGGTGTGAGGGCCGCAAGGGCGGTGAGTGGCGTGAGGGCGGTGAGTGGCGTGAGTGGCGTGAGTGGCGTGAGGGCGGTGAGTGGCGTGAGTGGCGTGAGTGGCGTGAGTGGCGTGAGTGGCGTGAGTGGCGTGAGTGGCGTGAGTGGCGTGAGTGGCGTGAGTGGCGTGAGTGGCGTGAGGGCCGTGAGGGCGGTGAGGGCCGTGAGGGCGGTGAGGGCCGTGAGGGCCGTGAGGGCGGTTAATGGTATGAGTGGCGTGAGGGCGGTAAAGGGTATGAGTGGTGGCGTGAGGGCCTTGAGTGCGTGAGTGGTGTGAGGGCGGTGAAGGGTGTGAGGGCCGTGAGGGCAGTGAGTGGCATGAGTGGCATGAGTGGCATGAGAGGCGTGAGAGGCGTGAGGGCCGTGAGGGCGGTGAGTGCATGAGGTGGGGTGTGAGGGCCATGAGTGCGTGAGGGCGGTGAGTACGTGAGGCCCCCTTCAGATCGAGCATCTTTCTCAGCAATTTTGGTGTTAATGGCGGGTTGTTCTCTAGCTTTCCCAAGATCGACACGAATTGCTGAGATCGGGTCCGGCTCGAAATAAGCAAGCAACTCGGAGCAATTCGAATACGTTTAAAGCGGCTGCATCCAATTCGGGACGCAAAATTTTCAAGTGATACCTCGTGCCGGTGATGATGACACCAAAAGACTTGGTTCTGGTTTGAAATCGATCGTTTTTTGGAAATAAACTGTTTCGTGTGTCACCGAGGCTTGTTCGAGTTCACTCGGATGCCGTTCGGATTAACAGGTGCACCGATGACATTCCAGCGGTTGATCGACGGGGTGCTCGGAGATGCCAAGTGGCAGCACGCGCTCGCGTATCTGGACGACATCATTGTGTACTCGGAAAATTTCGAGGACCACCTTCGTCACCTCGAAGACGTGTTGCGCAAACTACGGATCGTCGGCCTCACACTAAACCTGACTGAAGCCCAAATTGGAGCTTCTGAGATTAGCTTGTTGGGATTTTGGATCGAGAGAAGAAAAGTTTCCCCTGACGCGGACAAGTTGCGGGCGATCTGGGAGTTCCCAGTCCCTACCGATGTCGGGGGGGTGCGCCGTTTTCTCGGCATGATAGGATACTACCGAGCCTACATCCCGAACTGCGCAGCCATGCAGGCACCCCTCACGCAATTGCTGAGGAAAGCGGCTCCCTGGAGCTGGGAGGCGCCGCAGGAGGAGGCGCCGCAGGAGGAGGCGTTCCTCCAGCTGACCAAGGCCTTGGCGCGTACAGCATCCCTCAAACTGCCAGTGCCTGAGCAAACGCCGCAAGCAACGCCGTGGATTCACGGGACATCTCCGTGCTTTGCGGCATAGACACTACTGGCGATGCCGTCGGCGTTTCCGGACTCAGCACTACGGTCATCTGCGCGGCGTTCCCCTCCGCCAACCCCGAGAGCCGTCGCTCTTTTTCCACTTGTGTCGTCGCAACATCCGCCAAAAACATTAAATCTGTTAGCGCGAAATTACCCGTGGTCATCCAGAACACTTGTTTGGACGTGCCCTTTCCATCTTCACAGTGCCGCGGTATAGACCCGCCAACCAGGGGGACTGCCCCGCGTGACCTTTCACGCAGTGCCGTCGACGGACGTTGCGACTGTAATTACGGCTCGCCTGCCCCAACGGTGATGCGCTCTTTCTCATCTCATCTCTTTTTGTGTGCTCTTTCCATAGAGGGCTCCACAAAGAGGCAATAAATTATAAATATGTTGTGTTTTTGCTGGAGGGAGCAAGTCTCACTTTGACCAATGAAAACGGGTAGAAATAACAAAAGTAATACTGGCAAACTGATAAACCAGAAAATCATGCGGAAAGTAACCATCCTGATGTATTGCTGATAGCCGAGGCCAGCGATAAATCCATATCCGAATTCATATCACCTTGGCTACTGTAGTGGCTGTAGGAACAAATTTGCAAAAGAGTTCAGCTTTTCCACTTTCGTAAAGAAGGATGACCAGCATAGCTGTACTCGTTACACTGCCGCAACGCGCACGCGTTCGATTCCTACTTCTACTTGTCTAACACGCCGCCGATCGTGGATACGTCTCCGGCGAACCAGAGTCGGTCGCACGTGACGCCAAGCGGGTAATCCACAAACTTCCACCGGAACCTCGCCGCCGCACGCGGGAACTGTTCAGCCGGCGTGGAATGCAGTCATCGCCAGGCCTCGCGCTCGCGCTTGGCCTCCATGGCATGATCGTCGTCCGTGAACGACTTCTAAGACAACCTCAGAAATGACGTCTAGGACGACCTCAACTACAACTTCTAGGGCGACCTCGAGGACAGCGTCTAAGACGACTTCTAGGACGTCTAAAACGATCTCATGGACGACGTCTAGAACGACCTCAACGACGCCTTCTAGGATGACCTCGAGGATGCCGCCTAGGGTGACCTCGGGGACGACCTCGGGGACGACGTCTAGGAGAACCTCAAGGACGACATCTAGGACAACTTCAAGGACGACATCTAGAACAACCTCAAAGACGAGATCTAGAACAACCTCAAGGACGACATCCAGGACAACCTCAAGGACGACGTCGAGGACAACCTTAAGGACGACGTCGAGGACAACGTCTAGGACGACCTTGAGGTCGACGTCTAGGACGACCTCACAAAAAACGTCTAGAACGACCGCAACGACGACTTCTAGGTTGACCTCAAGGACGCCACCAATAGCGACCTCAGGGACGACGCCTAGGACGACCTCAGGGACGACGTCTAGGACGACCTCGAGGGCGACGTCTAGGGCGGCGTCTAGGGCGCCCTTGAAGGCAACGTCTAAGATGTCGGGGCGACTTCTAGGATGACCTCGAGGATGACCTTAAGGACGACCTCAAGGATGACGCCCAGAGAAATTCAGCCTTTCCACCCTAGTGAAAACCAGAGTGGAAAGGCTGGAAAGGTTGGCGCCATTCTTGCCAAGCTCGAAACCATACTGCGCAGTCCAAAAACAAAACGGCAAACTCGACCGCGTGTTGACACTAATCAGTGAATTCCGCGTTATTCGTAGTTTTCGAAGTGCTCAAAGAACTTGAATACTTCAAACAGTGAAAGTGCGAGGTGAATCGTATGGAAAAGCAAGCATTATTCGCGAAGTATTTGAAGTTTTGAATATTCGCACACCCCTAATTTCAATTGTGGGCAGCCGTTATCTTTGTCTTTCAGGTTCAGCATTGCTATATTTTGAACAAAAGCTATCTTGAGAATCTTAACAACTTGTGAAAAGGAGGTGGTTGGTGTCAGTTCTTAGACATTGTTGGGAGGATTATCCTTTTGCATTGTGATTCTGATTCCTAATGCTTTTGTTGTTTTGCAGCGAGCACTCCCAGTTCGCGGTCCGTGCCTCCCACCCTGACCTTCACGTAAGTGTTGAGGTTAAGGTATTCTGTACGAAGTAGGGGTAGAGGGCGCAAATTGTCCATTTGTTTTATCACATACATATTTAGAAGGAAAGACCATTTTGTAGAGATAGGACCATACTTATTTTTCGGGTACCCCAAAACAACCGGACAGCCTTCTCTTGCGTGCACCAATGCAAACACAAAGCAGAAGAAGCTATTGAGCACTAAATCTACTCGCACAAACCTACCGTAAAATCCCGAGTGATGCCCCACCACTGAAAGATAGCCCACCTCTGTTTTTGGCTTGATTTGCTATATTCTTTTAAACACTTGAAGCTAGCCCACCCCTGGTAATAGTAGTGTTGTGTATACCGTAAAGCCCCGCATATAATAAGAGTTTTGTTTCTTCAAATTTTGCCATGTAAAATTTGCGGCTCCTATTTTACGCGGGTCCCAACAATTTTCAGCTTCGATGAGGCGCGATCTAACGCTGTTTGACGTAGTTTCGGTTTCGAAGCAGTAGGGCGCTCAAAACAGCTGTCATCGTTATTAAAGTCGCAATGTCCGAGGCGCCACCATCCATCCACAGTCGGGCTCGGCAACGGCGTCGGCGCGAAAACAATCGGCAGCCTTCAAAAGAAAAGTCATTTTGGCTGCGAAAGACATCGGCAACAGTGCTGCCGGATAAGAATTCGCCGCAAAATGAGGGCAAGATCCGCGGATGGGGACGACAAAAGCAAGCTCTGTTTGCATGCAACGGAACTAGAAGAAACTTTAGGAGCCCGAAGAATGGTGTTTTCGCCGACGTCGAGGCAAGCCTCGGCGACTTTGTAAAAGAGCAACGTGAACGGCACCTCGCTGTAAACATGGAGCTGCTGCATAAGAACTTTGGCAAGCCGGGATTGGGTTCTTCGCTTTATGCACCACACCGGGATTTCACTGCATCATCGCTCTCTTGTCGCTCCTTCTTTCAAGAAGTGCGGGATTTCAAATGCGCTCGACGGCACTGAAGACTGCCTTTGGGAGGAGGCGTCGGACAGGGAGTCTGATGGACGTGATGGCAGTGATTAAGGTTCAATTATGACGCAGATAAAGGTTTTTTTTAAGACTTCCTTGGTCATATTTCACGCGAAAGATTTTCATTGTCCTTGTATTTGTTTCGCATTATACGCGGATAAAAGTTTTCTTTGCGGTCCTCAAATTATGTCTCGTATTATACGCGGGTTTTTACGGTACTTTTCTACTGGTCCGTCGTTTGTTTGCGCTGCATTCTCATTGCAATCAATAATGGCTTCGGCAGAAATGTGGTTTGTTAGCTTTGGCGGGATATAAGCGAACGTTGCTGACTGGGAAGTACAGTCTTCTTTGCTTCCTTGCCCCTCACCACCCTAACAAGCTTGGAAGGGACACAACCTAAAAAAAGTAAATTTTGAAAACTTTCCCTGATTGTATGCCGAAAGTTAGCCCACTCCATATTTTCACTCGATTTGCTCTCGATGTTAGGTGGGCTCTCTTTCGGGATTTTACGGTAGTACTAAACGGAACTACTACTAAACTGAATTGTAGCATATCGATGTGGTGCAAGCTCATCTAAAAAAACCTAGATAATGAAATGTCTTGCATCTTTAAAATCTGAAGTTCAGCATTGCTAGTAATGGAGTGCAATCGATTAGTTTCTTTGTTAGAGTATTGGTATATACCCAAAGATGGTTGGGAGGCATTCACTGACTGCCTTAGCTGTGCATGATTGTATTGAGCATGTGCTGACCGCGAGCTTTCGTGGCAATATTCTTTTGTCAAAGGCTCGATAAGAATCTGAGCACATCAAATTGGATCATGTTTTGCCTTCTCTAAGCCTGCCTGCAAGCCTGACATGCGGTGAAGCCTCACGGGTGTGCTCCAGTGCAAAGTGGTGAAGCTTAAAGAAAGCATTGCAATTGTCATGGATAATTACCAGTGTTGTAGGCATTACCGTAAAGTAGTAACGAAATAAGTTACTTGTTACTCGCAAATAAAAGGAATGCGTTACCGTTACAGATAAAAAGTAACACCCGTTACTTGTGCGTTTCTTTTTTAACATCATTAATTAACAGGTTTAACTTTTTGACGTTATAGGCACGCATAAGCGCCATATTTTAATCTCCATCCAGAAATTGAACGCAATTGCCTTATATTTTTATACAGTTCCACCAAAATACTCACTAAAAAAAGGCAAAGAAAAGCGTAAAACCCTCGAAATTGTATATTGCTTGGCAATATACAATTTTGGGCACCTGGAAACACGAATCAAACTAAAGTAGTTTTTTTTAAGTGTTGGGAAGAATATGTAACGAGTAACGTAGCTATGCTACACATTACTCGAAATAAGTAACATAAGTATGTTACCCGTTACAGTTTTGAAAAGGTGACGAATATGTTAAATTAGTGGAAAAAGTAACACGTTACCGATAACGCCGTTACTTGTAGCGCATTACCGCCAACACTGGTGCCACCAAGGGGTCGTGCAGTCAACAAGCGGCTTTTAGGGGGGGGGGGGGGGGGGGGGTAGCTAGGTATGCCACCAAGTAAATAGTTTTATTCACCATTGTATGTCAATTTCTTTGGTTGGAATTATGGTTCAACTCTTTATTTAAATGTTAGAAATGATTTTCAGCCGCGATTATGTAAAGTATGCTAAATTTCCATGAAATGAAATATCTTTTTGTTTGAAAATATTCAGTTTGAAGTAAAAAAAGGTAATTGCTGATACCTGCTTTGCACCTGCAGGGCCGCATCAGAGGTGGGCAGCCTCGACACCAGCAACGTCACCTTCCGGAGAAGCAAGGTCGGCCATTTCTTGTTTCTCGCCTCGGAATCAGCGGCATTGCTGGCGTGCACTTTTGCGGGATCCAGGTGTTCACCATGATGCAGAACTGTGCACAGAGAGACAAAAGAGAAAGGAACACCGACAGCTCTGGTCTCTTGGTTGCTTTTGGGTGCAAAAGAGGCTGCCTTTTTGCAATCATTTGGCTCTGACTGATGTGCATTCCCCCTGGTGTCGGTCTCCTCTGTCACGAATGAATATTGCTTCCTCTTCCTTTCTTCACCTAATGCACCAGAGTTCTGTGTTTCCTCCGCCTTTGTCTCTTTTTGCGCAATTTTTCATCATGTTCAACGTTTACCAACTCGCCCAGCTATTGCTTTACTGCAGTGTTCAGCAAAACTTGGAACCTTGTTCCAAGTTTTGCTGAAACTTGGAACAGTCGCCGACCGATTATTCGGACTTCGCAGGGACCGAAAAAATATACGAATAATAGAACAGTCTGAAAAATCAGCAGATTGAAAAACTTGCCTTTATGACTTAAGAGTGGACTCAAAAAAGCCGTAAGTACTGTATAATGTATACCAATTCACCGCCTGCTGCCTGAAATTCATAAAAAAGGTGGTGTTGGCCATGTCTCGGTGGGTGAGCACAAAAAGTTGAAAAAAGCCGGAAAAACTGCCCATTTTTCCCTGCGTATCTAGCGCAGCTGCAAAAGGGATAGGTTAGCGTATTTACTCACACAATGAACGCAGTCACGTATTAAACGCACCTCCAGCTCGGACGTAAAAATTTTGAGCCCCTCCCCCCACACGCGCGAAATGAATCCGCTTCTCTATCCTGGTGCAGCGAGGTTGCAAATGCATGGGCAGCATGGGCGAACGAAACGCCTTGTGAAAGGCGTTAAAGAATAAAAAAATAAAGAGCTCCAACGGAAGCAAGAAAAAAAACGGGAGTTTTTTTTTGCGTAGGTTAGTCTGGACTTCGGGGTCGTGCGCTGCGCTCAAGGAGGTAAAAAAGAGAAGCGAAGAAGCTCTCGCCTAAGCAACACCTAAGTACACGAAACAGCTTGTGAAAGACGACAAAAAAAAAAAAACCCACAGAGCTAAAAAAAAAGCAGCCTTTTTTTTTTTGTTTGTGCAGCCCAGTTTGGTTACGGGGATGCGCACCGCGCACAAAGAGATAAGAAGTTACTTCGATTTTTCAGGATAAAAGGTCCTTCATTATGCGAGTAAATGCGGACGCAAAGATTATACTTCGCATAATGAACGCCCCCCCCCCCCCCCCTCAAGTTTGCATCGATTTTTCGGGAAAAAAGTGTGTTCATTCTGCGAGCAAATACGGTACTCGATTTTGTTTTATTGTTTTATAGAAAAAGTGCTCACGAAAGAATGTTTTACTATCGCAAAGTCCGCTGCTTGCATATGCGCTAGGAACACCGCCAATCTGCATACACGGCAAACGTTTGTTTCGTAAAAGTTTAAAAAAGAAAAAAAAAGAGGAAAGTGTATAAGAAAATAGAAAAACCAGCCAGGCGCAACGAGCGAGCGAGCGGCCAAGGAAGCGATGAAGAGCGTTGCTGGGAAAGCGAAGAGCCGGCCATCGCTTGGGCAAATACTTTGGCTTGGGGCCAACTCGGGCGCCTTGTGAATCGCAAGTCCTTGCGCAACTTTCTTGTTTGGTGCGTACATGGGTGGATCCGTGCACGGCGTCCTATCAATGGGGGTACAAACGTCTGCGTAGGGCGTTCCAGCAAAGCTTTATTTCCCCTTTGGCTTTGTCTAAAACATTGCACACCCGCGGTCGCGACGTGCAAGGAGAAGGAGCGGGTTCGCGGCGACTTCGGCGGAGACAGACTTCGACCTTACGCTTCACGGTTACATTTCCAGGATACGGGGCGTTCGTTACCGTGCGATCCCTGACTTACTGCTTGTGTTGTCTTTTTGACTTTTTATTTTTGTCTGGTCGATTTATTTTGTAAACAAAACAAACTTTTATTCTGTTCATATCTTTTTTCTTTTGCACTGACGCACTATCAGTTCAGGGTCGCTCACGGAGGAAATGCGTAAACAAAGAGAAGTGTCTTTGCCTCCTTCCTTTTATTTTGTCACGGGTGTCCTCCAACTGTATGGTCCGCGGCCGTGTCATTCGGGTAGGATGAGTGTTCGCAGATCGCGGAGTCCGTGTTGGGGGTATTTGAAGGGGGCGGGCGATGACTCGGCATATTACGGTAGTGCCTTGTTCTTTGTTACGCCTCCGTTTGTGTTTGTCTGCTTTCTGTTAGCTTGAGAATCACTGCCTTCTTTTCTAGCGTTATGGTCGAGCACTTTCTGCATTTGTTAACGACACATCCCGGTCGCGGAAGAACAGATGGCGCCATGACGTCCAAGCCAGCGTTGTCCGCACAAAATGAGAGGCGCAAATCCATGAGCGCAAAATGGCAACTGGCGACATGAAAGTGGGGCGGAGGCGCAAAGGGATGGAAGCATACAAAGCAAAATGATAATAAGGATAATGATGACAACGTGCAGCTAAATGGGAAAAAGGGCTAGCATACCGTATTTACTCGCAAAATGAACACGCTTTTTTCCCCGAAAAATTTACACATATTTAGGGGGGGGGGGGGGGCGTTCATTACACGGGGTAAAATCTTTGCATTTACACACTTCGTGCAAATATCGTATTGGGTGCCAATATGACACGGCAAGGTTCCACAGCACGTCTCCAGTGATGGAGGTGCACCCACGGCTGGTTGGGGGGCGCGCCATAATAACCATGCTTTATAAATTGCAAACCATTTTGGAGTGCTTTCAGGGTTTCTTTTGCCAATGGAAAAGCGCCCTACGAATCTCACTCAGCACGAAAAGCAACACGACCGTTCTTAGGCAAATGATATTGCTAGTATCCAGCGGGCACACTCAGGTATATCCGCAGCTAGGCGTTGAACTCGTATATAAACTTGTAGAAAGTCCAATTGCCAACCGCTGAAGCTCGCTCGAACGGATCAAGTTTCGTTCACAGAGACAAGAACTTGTACGAAGTCCAACCGCCGACCACCGAAGCTTGCTCGCACGGATCAAGTTTTGTTTACGGAGAGACTACCAGACACTCTCGGCCTACAGCGCAGCGTGCACCTCGCTGTGCTGTTCTGCTATGGATTAAATAAACGCATTTACCCTGAGTATGTGAAATTAGACCCAACCACTTTCACAATTTCGCTGTCCAAAAGCGAATCACAGACGACGGCTTGTTTGTTGACATCAATGCAACCGATAGGGGAAGAATGTCCGGGACTCGGCAATTCCTCGCCCCAAGCTTTGTCCAGTGTGCGCGCCGCTCGGTTTCATGGTATCACTTCCGCGACTATGCACTCGAAGCCATTACGAGAGCGGCTGGGCTTGGCTTGACCGGACCGTTTGGTGGAAAAAGAAAATTAGCTCGGTGGCACGCTAAATTGGACGCAATTCGAGACTCGCGGAGCCGAAGATTGGACGTGCATTCATTGCACGAGAGAAAAAAAGTCTAAATATGAGTACCCGTTGGGGGGGGGGGGGGGGGGGGGGGTGCGTTCATTATGCGAGTGTATACGGTATTTTTTTTCGTTTCACCATGAACACTGAAAAACAACAAAGTTGTACGAACCACCTGCGGACTACGTTCAGTGCGTCATCAAGTTCTAACGGCTGCCTGATCCTTGGAACTGTAGTCTCCTCTTTCAGATGTTTCTGCTTGTCGTCTGCTCGCTCAAACGACAGTGGCCTGTAGACCAATCCTTGACCCGGTAATTGCGATAAAAATTCAATGCGAGCCTCAAAAGGCTGAAGGTTGGTTGGGGTCAGCAGGCTCGGTGTAAACAGTAGATACAAGGAGAGGTTGATCATTGTTACCTGTGGCCATCGCTGACCTGTTAGGCCTGATAGTAGACTTGGTCCGGTTCTGCTCTCGATTTTCAGTATCTGCGTCGACCATCTGAGTTACAGTTTACGCTTTTGCAGCTTGAGCGACGCCATGACTGAAAATAGCAAGCAGAATCTCACCATACGAATTCGGGCTTGAGCGTCCATTCTTGGGGCGTTCATGTAGAATTAATGGTCGCATGTGGCATTATTCACGCCAACTTTTGCGGTGTAAAGAGCCTCGTTGATTTGGCTCAGGCCGCTAAATGAGTCGGACATTTGCAGGAAGACATCCAATGAACAATTCCAAGGCGAAAAAGAGTCCGACCAGATTGCATTCCAGTGGTTTGTTTATGGGCGGCGGCATTTGTCCTCACCTGTGGACAAGATGCACGAGCCCGAAAAATGTAGCTCCAGCCAAATGTCGGAAAAGACGTTTTATTAACCAGCTCTGTTGCTTCAAGGGCGACTGAAAGCACGCGGAGCAGCTCATAGTCTTCGAAGTAAAGTATAAATCAAAACAAATTCCAATTTAAATAAAAAAAAAATACTTTTATGTTAGGAGCTGCTGCTTCTCCGTGCGCTTTCAGTCACCCTTGAAGAAAAAACCTAGCTGGTTTCAAAACATGGGGCTCCCCTTGGAGATTCGGACTTTTTACACAACTATGTTTACTTTCAAGATGGGATTTTTTCGACTTGTTGTTGTTGCAATGGCAACACTTTTGGTGGCTCCCACGGAGCCATTTCTTGGGCACGACGCATGCGACCGATGCAGCAACGAGCAAAGCGGGTCTTGTGCAATTCATGCTCGGCTTAAGAGAGCACGAGCTGGGAGATTGGTGGTGTTCCTCGCTCATTGGAGAACACAATGCCAACTCAATGCAGGCGCGCCGCAAGACGGCCACCCCTCAAGAGCTGCTGCATCCGTCCACCATGAATTCTTCGCTGCCGTCGCTGCCTCAGACGGAGGAAGCGTCGACAGATGCCCCTCATGCCCTGCCGGCGATGGAGGACGTGATGGCCATGTCGCATCCCGACGGGGCCTGCTTTGACCTCGGACCCGACGGGAACCTGACCAGGGTTTCCAGTGCACCGGGATCCCTCGAGTGAGTGGCCAAAGCACAATTTCAACTTGGCGCCTCATCAGGTGCAAAGCTTTATGCAATGGCGCACATTGAGCTTTGAACCTTGGGGATCCTTGTTTGCATTGAACGTCGCAAACTTTGGAGAACTTCGCACATGAAAGTTTAGGGGGCGTGAGCTTTGAGATTGTGGATTTCTAAGTGTCGGGCACTCCAAGGCGTGGGGAACTCCGAGTGCGGGCGAAGTTTTGCTCAGGTTTCGTGGCTGGCTGTCCTGTTACACTTTGGAGCGATACAAGCCAAAGCGCCAGTGTTTGGCAGACGAGGGTTTCATTTAATTTTATTTATTAATCCTTAAGGGTCCTCTTTCGAGGGCCTTTAAGGGCCCTCGAAACATAACGAGGGGGCAGCGCAAGAAATTATACAAAAATGAAAAACAACAACATAAAAAATACGTAACAACGCACACTTGTGCAATGTAGCTAGAAAAACCTAATTTGGTGTAGAAAAATACGTGATGAAGCTTTTGAAAACCACAGGTTCATTAATTGTAATGAGCGATTCTGGAACATTGTTCCAGTCCACAATTGTGAGTGGGAGAAACGATTTGTTAAAGGTATTACTGGAACCCGATATACGTCGAAAATTATAGGAGTTATTAAGGCGACGAGACGACCGTGCGTGAGTGCGCAAGAATGAACTTCGAACAGTGGGGGATGGTAGCGGTAAAGTTTATGGAGTAAGCAAAGACGTGCAACCTTGCGGCGTACCTCCAGAGTTCATAAATTTAGGCTCGTTTTCATAGCAGAGGCACTGTTTTTATAGCCATAGTCTGATAACTGTAGCGGGTTGCTCGGTTCTGAATTGCTTCAAGTTGGGTGATCAAGTAATTTTGGTGCGGATTCCACATTGTGCTAGCATATCCCAGTTTAGGTCGAATGAAGGTTTTGTATGCAAGTTTCCTCATTTTTGGAGGAGCAGCATTCAGCGCCGGATCTAACCAAGGGTCTTTGCTGCGTCCGAAGACATGGTGTTAATGCGATTAATCTATGTCAGTGTCATGTCGGAAGTTAGTACGACACCAAGATATTTCTACCTATCGACTTCCTCGTCGCCCAGCACACACTGAGAGGAGGAAGGGACTCTTTTGCGAGAAAAGTGGATTAATTTGCATTTAGGTTTTTTTAGTGGCATCAGCCAGTGGTTACACCACTGAGAGACATTATCTAGATCCTTTTGGAGGAGTTTGCGGTCATTAGGTGAAGTGATCTCGCGATATAGAACACAGTCGTCTGCAAAAATACGTATGTGAAAAGAAATAGAGTTTGGAAGGTCATTAATAAATATTAGAAAAAAAGGGGCCTGTGCCTTGGGGCACGCCAGACTAGACATTATTAAATCAGATTCCTACCCATTTAAGAGTGTGTACTTTGTTCGTGAGTCAAGAAAATTACGCATCTCCATTAGGACTAGGTGAAGGCGGGAAAATTTAGAGATTAAACGAATATGTGGGACACAATCCTTGAAAAAGTCTAAAACTTTTGCGTTGTTTCGTTGCGAGATTGAAGGCTGCAATGAAGGTGGTGCGTATATTCAAAGAGTTGCGTCTCGCAAGAGTAACCTTTGCGAAAGCCACGTTGGTGGTGGTAGAATTGCAATTTAAATGCGACATTATGTTCAAGAAGTTTAGATGGAACGGAAGTTAGTGAAATGGGAGTTAGAAGGCAAGGAGCAATGATAATTTCTGTGGACCGGAACAATCCTACCTACCTTCGGATAGTGACTGATTAAATATCATTTGCAAAATATCCCTAGTTACAATCTTAGTATTTTTCAGAATCTTCGATGATATGTTATCTGACCCTGAGGAGGATGAAAGCTAATCGATAAGTGTGGCAATACTGGCCGATGAAACGTTGATTGGGGCTCGTAGTGAACAGTGGGTAGTTCAGGCTCACATTTAAAGGACGTCCGTCGAGATGGATGCGAAAATGCTATTCATTACCTAGGAGCACATTCTTTCCTCAGCTGGGTTGCGACCCTCATCGATTAGTTTAATGATATCATTGTTGTTTATTGACGGGATTATATTCCAAAACCTTTTGGGGTCGTTGAAAGGATAGTTGGAAGGTCCTGATTAAAATATTATATTTTTCAAGCTTTTATTAGATGGATATAATCCTTAAGGCAAGCATAATACTTCTCCCAGATACTTGAACAGCTAGTCATTCTTGCTTTACGAAAGAGGCGTTTTTTCTTATTGTCAAGTTACTTGAGCCTTTCGTTATACCAGGGCTGGCAACCATCACTTCGGATCCGCAAAGTAGTTACAAACGCCTGAATAATGTCATTCAATTTATTTTCATATAAAATCAAGTTGTCATTCACACTACTTAGACTAAAGTGGATGCGATAGAACTGCAAGAAAGGGGTCAGATTTCTGTTCATTGCTCTACTATAGTCCCGTATCACCTTTTTGACAGGCCTCTTGATCAAAATTGAAAGGGACAGCAAGATGTGCAAACGTTTCTGGTCACTGAATCCATTGCTGTAGGTAACGAATTGAACCAGATCAGGAGAAGACGCGAGTACAAGGTCATGGATGTTATCCCCACGGGTTGGGCTCGTAACAACCCGAGTTGGGTTAAAAAGCAAACATAGTTCCGGAAAATCGCGAGAATAACGGGATGCATCGGCTGTTAGACTTGACCGGCTTATATTGGGAAAGTTGAAATCTTTGAATAACAAGAGGTTCGCTTTTGCAAAACGTTATCTCCAATAGGACTTTATGAAATTCACTTGGGAATGCAGAGTCACTATTCGGGGGCCTGTGGCAGACAACAAGTACAGTTTTAATTATAGCCAAACAAAGACAGACGCAAGTAATTTCCAAACTGCATTGTAACTGAATGCAGAACAAAGTGATATGCTTTTGACTCCGATAAGAACACCACCACTGCGTTGAAGTGGCCTGTCCTTTTGGCAGATACAGAGATGGAGGTGATCGGGAAATAGTTTGTCATTGCGAACATTTGGCCTCAACCATGTCTCAGTCAGCACAACAATATCAGAATTACTATCTTCTAAAACACTGCACAGTTCCTCTCTTTTATGCATGAGGCTGCAAATATTAGTGGTAGAAACGGGATATGGACAAACGTTTTGTTACCGTACGTGCTAATGAACTGAGAGCATTACGAGATGGGTTTATTACAGATCGTGGTTATGCAGAAAATTATTTTACACAGTCTGATGCAGCGTCATATACAAAGTTTAGCATACGGAGCTTATCGAAACAGTTGCAGATCTTGCAAGTCTTGTCCATCTCGACGAGTTTATACTTTCTGCGTGGGCAACTGCTGCGTTTATTTGACTCTAGGTTTTCCTAGCACTTTTCTTTCAAACTTGATGACCTACCCATAATTGTCACCAAAGAAGGTTGACCTATGATGGTGAGCAAACGTCAGGGCTCCATCGAACGATCTCCTGCATCATCTGCTTGCATTCTGCAAGGCAGGGAACATCTGCACGAGTGTAGCGGCGTAGACGTGCCGAAGTGTACTGAATGTTTGGAACATGTGGCCAGTGCAGTTGACAAGCTGCATAGGAATCCTTGCACTTGTTTAAAATTGAGGTGAACTTCAATCAGTATTCTAATAGTTTTCATTATTCTTGGCAAGTTCTTTACCTAGGCTGTTCAAAAGGTAGACGCAGTATACCATGAAAATTGACGAGGAGAATGGGATGGTTTGGTTCGCTCAACATTGTATTTTAGTTAAAACACCAAAGTAATTTTATTATGAAAGTCATGCTTCCCTGCACCTTGCTGCACCCAAAGGGAAAAATTGTGCCAAACTGCGGCAATGCCTGCAAAACTGCGGCAATATCTGCGGACAAATCAATTTTTGGAAGTCTTCATCTGGCAACAGTGGGAATCCAGTGGTATTTGGCCATGAAAATCCAATCCAGGTCTTACACGAATTTTACCGACATTCCCAAGGCAGCGCAGCTTCAACAGTTTTAGTTGCATTTCGAAGCACACTATACTGAAAATTTACTAGTACAAGTAGTTTTTTTTTTCTTTTTTTTTCGCGTGCATATTTTTTGAAGCATAACACTGCTTTATAGGAATGTGCTCGCACATGGTTCTCATGTTGTTAGCATGCTCGGTCTGTACCGCTTGGTTACGTATTGTTGCCTTTCCTCACGTCAAATGATGTGACTCCATGATGGTACTACAGTCGAAACCCGCTTCAACGGGCGCCGCATCAACAAAATTTCCGGTTCTACGAATATTTTTTGGTTCTCCGTCAAAGATCTTAAGAGTCAGTGCACAAAAATTCTCACTACAGCGTACAGAGTTTCTTGTGCCGTTCCACTTGAACGAAATTTCACGGAGCAATTCAAAGTTTGAAAGTTTGATATTCCGTACAAAAAACAAACTTGCGAGCACTTTGGTGCATTTTGGCACATAAAATACATCTACTAAAGTTGAAATGGTGTGTTGAACCACCAGAAACGGCCACTAATAACCGGAATCCCCGGAACCCGAGCGCAACGGGCTCGCCGCGCGTGCCCGTTGCGCGTGCAGGCCGCGGATACCCGGTGGCAATGGTGATGAGGCTGGCCTTCTCTGCCTTTCACCGCTGTTGTACGAATGTTGGTTGCATCCTAGCTCTTGGCTCGATAATCCTCTGCTGCACACTATCGAAAGCCGAAGCTCAGTTACAGTGTACTAGAATACTTGGGTAGTGTTGGGACCCAAGGGGCTCGCCTGAAGCGCGTGGCATTGATCGCGACAGGTGTCGCGTCCGGCGCCTTATATGGAAGGTGCGCGCATGTGCGGCTGCACGCGCGAAAATATGAATCTTCGGTGCCGCTTTGGTGGAGTGCACATAGGATTTCTGATACAGCTACGACCTGCCAGCGGTCATACCGCGGCATCAATTACGCTGCGGCACGATCGTTAGCAACATGATGCTTCAATGTATTGTACGGTACAAGCTACATTACCCTTCCTTTAC